CGGCTCTTGTTTGGTTTCAGGTGATTGAAACTTATTGGTCGGTACGAGAGGTAAACCACTAGTAAAAATCATCGTACATTTTTTTGGGAATCATATAGTAATCAATCAAGAATACATGAAAATCACTTGGGAGTCCCCTAGGAATCGTTAGGAATCTCCTAGGACTCCATGGGAATCACATAGGAATCCATTGGCAATCGCTGAGAATCATGTTGTAATCGCTGGAAATATCATCTCATTCTAACCCAGGAATCGCATATCATACATTTTAAACGATACAGCGTACCGGTCAGTTGTGTGTTGTGTATTTGCCTTTAAGACTAAGTTTTAACATTGAGTGCTATAGACAAAACTTGAAATGTTATTGATATCCCAACGAGTTTCCCAATCACTATTAAGAGCTATGAATGTCCCTGAGAAACACATAAAAGAAAAAGTGGGGATAGCTTTCTTCAGGCCAGAATTAAAGCACCCACTGCAATATGTTCCGCTGCTGACTCTGTGCTCCGGTATACCTAACTTAAATGAGCTTTTGTACTGGTTTTCTGTTTTCATTCTCTCACAGAGATATTTTTGTGAAATGCCATTCTCTTTTATGTATTTGAGAATTTGGTCTCGTGATCAAATCCCGAGACAAATAACCACTTGAATTGTTCTGCAATCCTAAGAGTTGTCTGGACTTAATTGAGTTGTTCCAGTTTTCCGGAATGCTATGACTGCAGACACAGACTGAACAAATTTTAATTTTTTCTAATTAGTGTTGGTCCTCCTATTTTTATAGCTTCTGCGATTACACCATCTTCCCCTGGAGCCTTATTGTTGCTCATCTTTCTTAAAGCATTTTGGAAACATCCGGAATATTTTCCGATCCTTGATTTTGGACTTTTCTTTGTAAGTTGTCTGTTTGATTCATTGTCTGTTGATTCTTATACAGGGTAGTCCAACAAGCGCGCTATTTTTAAGTATACAGGGTGTCTCAAAAAAGGGTAATCACAAATTTTGTGTTTTTTTTTTTAAATGGAATATTATATGTTTTTATGTGGCAAATGAAGCCTCTATGTGCTTTGTATTCAATTTTAAAATGATATTTGGGTTGAATGCAGCGTTGCCAAGTTATGATTTTTCGAAGAAAAAAATAGACCAAAACATACTTTTCTAAAATTGTCATATCTCCGCCACTGTACATAAATTTCTCTTAAAAATTTACATGTGATCTAATGTTAGCCTAGTTGCTCCTACATTATCTTCATTTTTCGATTTAAGTATACAGGGTGTCCAAAATATTTGTCTGAACACGTCAATTTTAAAGTCCATTTTAATTGAGTTTTTCAAATACAACACCCCGTATATTATTTTTCTATCGAAAATCTGAAAATGTCCGCTTTCAGAAAATATCATATTTGCCGTATCTATCGCATTAATATTTTGAGATATTAAGATTTTTCTTCAACTTTGCGCAGAAAATGAGATAAATAGCTGGTTGCATGGCTCAAAAAATCAACATTATTCCAAATTAGCATAACATTATGGCACACACAATTAATTCATTGTAAGCACTCATTTTACTTGTCAAAAAGACCTATTTACGTTTTACAATATTTACAAAGTACCTATAACTGAAGTTAAATGCTACTCTTATTCTTACCCTTATATTTTCTTATTTGTGTCCGTCAATAGTAAGTAGCCAACCCGTTGAATTTTTGGGAACGTTTTCTGAATACCAGTTTCAACTTTTCATCTCGGATATTATTACCTGAAATTATTTTCAAGTAGGTATACAGGGTGTCTCACAAAGGAGTAAAACTAAAAATTATATTTTTGTTAAATAGCATACCGTACTTATGCTTTTATGTGGCCAATGAGGCCTCGATGGGTTTTGTATTCGACTTCAAATTCGTATTTGGTTCGTATGTAGCAAGTTACGATTTTCCGAAGAAAAAATAGGCGAAAACATACTTTTTAAATTTTCATATCTCCGCCACTACTGCCGCCAATATTGTCAAAAAACTCTTATTAGGCGCAATTTTTCCGATATGGCGGCGTGAGCAGGAAATATACGAGGAGGAAAAGTAGAAATTTGGAAAGAACACGTCTTAACCTTAAAAATTTTCAAATCTCTCGAAAAACTTTCCAGGTTATACTGCCAAATTACTTCATTTTTTACCGTTTTTTGTGCAAAGTTAAGGGAAAATCTTAATATCTCAAAATACTAATGAGATAGATACAGCAAATATGATATTTTCTAAAAGAGGACACTTTTAGCTTTTCGATAGAAAAATAATATACGGGGTGTTGTATTTGAAAAACTCAATCAAAATGGACTTTAAAATTGACGTGTTTAGACAAATATTTTGGACACGCTGTATACTTAAATCGAAAAATGAAGATAATGTAGGAGTAACTAGGCTAACATTAGATTACATGTAAATTTTTAAGGGAAATTAATGTACAGTGGCGGAAATATGACAATTTTAAAAAAGTATGTTTTGGTCTATTCTTATCTTCGAAAAATCATATCTTGGCAACACTGCATTCAACCCAAATACAATTTTGAATTTGAATACAGAGCACATAGAGGCTTCATTTGCCACATGAAAACATATGATATTCCATTAAAAAAAAAAACATAAAATTTGTGATTACCCTTTTTTGAGACACCCTGTATACTTGAAAATAATTTTAGGTTATAGCAGAGATGAAATGCTAAAACTTTTATACAGAACATTTTTCCATAAGTTCAACGGTTTGGCTACCATTGACCGAGGCGCGCTTGTTGGACTACCCTGTATAAAGTTCTGTAGTATTTTTCGACTATTTGAATAAACTTTTCTCTGTTGGTTGTGGATTCTCCGATTTGGTCCTTGAGCATATAAATACCCTTTTTGATATTTGTAATTTTTTTTTTCGTCACTTTCATGCTTCTATTTTCTTCAATGGTCTGTATGGCCCTGTGCTTTCATGTTAAAATTTAGTACTAGTTTTTCATGATTCTTGAGGGGTTGCAGCATTGCATATAGTCCGTCGTTTTTAATCTGACACTTTCCGTATGAGGAGCGAGAGGGTGAAGCATATGACAAAAACAGAAACCAGTCAGAGACTCAGGGGCACTGACTTCAATATAGATGATGAATGGACAGGGTCCATACTGTTAGCAGGTTTACCAGATAAGTTATATGCCCATGATTATGGCTATAGCTAATTCTGGTATAGCCATAAGTTGATTGATATGGAAAGCGGAGCAAGAGTGGGGTGGGGGGGGGGGGGGCAGTGCATTTTTTGTGGAAAAGGAAGCTGCTAAGAAAGAGAAAGATACAGTGTTTTGGATGCAAAGGATTTGGACAATTCAAATGTCAAAAGAAACCAAGTGATCAGAAATATCAAAAAAATCAGACAATGCCTGCGGGGAGTACAGAAAAACAGATTGGTTTGTTGACAACGGCGCCAGTGTTCATTTGGTTTCAGACGAGAGTTTGATGATAGCAAAAAAGCAATATCAGACATGGTTGCAAATAAGTCGATAGTTTCTGTAGTTGGATGAGGTGACGTCAGGATTACAACAGTTGTTGAAGAGTTACACGACATTGTAGTACAGAGCGCACTTTATGTACCAAAAATCACAACAAATTTGTTATTGGTGAGTCAGCTTTCAAGAATGGAAACAAAGTCATTTTTTGAGAAATAGCGTTGCAAGATTCACAACAAGAATGACACGTTGCTAACTTAAGTCAATGGTGTTTACAAGCTTAACTTGAAGTCAGAAACAGAGAGCTGTTTGATGGAAATTATAGAGTGCAGAAATGTGGCGAAGAAAATTGGGGCATCTGAATAGTGCAGACCTAGAAAAGATGAAAAATGGTGCTGTAGATGGTTTAAAGTGTTCAGAGAATATCAACATTTACAAGTACAACTGTGAAACGTGTTGTAAAGGAAAACAACACAGATTACCATTTCCAAAGGATAGAAAAAGATCTGAAAACGTGCTAGGCATGGTCCGACGAGTTAGCAGTTGGTGCGTATATCTGTATTATATTAAGATCACTTGGCTTGGCTCTGAGTTTCAATAAAGCAATGCGGCCCGAGTATGGAACAAATTCCACGACAGATTTCAGTCGTTCTTTTGTTATAACAATTCCCACGCCTTTTTCTATGTTTTGGATCGTAGTAGAAGAATACTTCGTTATTTACATTGTACCTTTCCACACCAGGCCACCAGGTTTCAGTGACATTGCACTTTATTTCTGATGATAAAGAAGAAACTAAATTTTTGAAAGATAAGTTAAGCTCAGAATTTAAAATCAAAGATTTGAGACAGGCAAAACAATGTCTTGGAACAAGAATTTTAATAGAAGCAGATAGTCATATCATTACTTTCGACCAGGAACAATACATAAATAGTTTGTTGCACAGATTTAGGATGTCAGAGTGTAGAGCTGTGGCTACACCAATGGAGTTTCAGTGCCGTATCAAGAAGTAATTGGCAGTTTAATATATTTGTCAGTTATCACAAGACCTGCTGTTTCTTACGCGGTCAGTTACCTCAGACAATTTAACAATTATTGTTACGATGAGACGCACCTGGAAGGTTGCAAAGAGGATAGGATTCTGAGATATTTGCAGGGAACTAAAACTTTTTGTCTAAAATTTGAAAAATTTGAAAATTTTGAGCTTGTAGGATACATAGACGATGAATCGGTTTTTCTCCCTTATCGTGGAAGATGCGGCTGGATTTTAATGTCTTTCAACATTCACTCTTTCTGAGTCCAACAATGTCCCATTTGATTTGTTTCAGTTTCTATCTCATTTCAATAAGTTTTCCATCTGATAATTTTAGCATTAAAGGTTGCAACTTTCAGTTAGATGTAAAATACATCGCTATAAAATCAATGACACAGTATAATGCCCAACCCTTGTAGATGTACATACTATTACATTAAATAAATATTGAATTTTTTACCTTCTTATATGTTTATTTATTTAATACATGTTACTTTTTATAATAGGTAACATCCAAAAAACAAAAATCACATCAGAAAGAGGAAGCTGAAAAGGCCCCAAAACCAGTGGAATCTCCAACCAAAACCGTCGCAGAAGCTGTGATTACAATTTCTACTGATGACGATTCCAACGAAAAAAAAGACTCCGAAGACGTGAATAGTAAAAAGAGCGCATCAGCTGCGAAACCCAAAAACAGCCCTCCCAAAAAAACTCCAGAGAAAGCGGAAGAAAAAATTGTTGTTGAAGAGAACAAATTCAAAGCAGACCTTCTTAAGTATAAGCAAATAGAAGTTGTTGATGAAGAAGAAGACGAGATCGTTGAAGAGGAAGACGAGGATTCTGGAGAAGAGAGCGACTCCGTCAAGAGAAAGGAGTGGGTTTTACAGGTGAGAACTTTATTTGAACAATTCTCAATAAGATATTAAAAATGTTTTAGTTATAGTAAAGAATGAATAAATTTTTGTATATTCTAGAGAAAACGAGAAGCAATAAAGAAATGCCGCGCCAAACGAATGGAGAAACTCGCCAAGGCTGCTGAGTTGAAACGCAAGCGACTGGAACAGGCCCAACAACAACGGGAAGCCAGAAAAGCGGCCGAAGAAGCTGCGGCCGCGGCAGGCGAAAAGGAACGAGCCAATAAACGGTACGGACGTTACGGCAAGCCCAAACCTCAAATTTCTTTGATAGACGCCCCAGTAGAAGAAACCGCTGGCACGATTAAAAGTAATTTGAGGCTGTTTCATCCTGGAAGTGAAAATATTGACGACGACGACACTGGGGTAAGAATTATTGATTGTTAGTTTAAATTGTATTTGAGTTAAGGGCAAAGTAGAACCTTACTCACAAGGTGCAGAATTATTTTAAGTAGTGACAAAACTTGTAAAGAGCAACATCATTTTCAAGTACCAGTTACTCAACAGACAACGCCATACTTCCTGTGCAGCTTTATAACACCAAGCCAAGTCAGACAATTTTTTGATATCTTCAACCTGGGCGATGGGACATTTTCGCATGAAGACCCGATACCTATACATATAATATAATATGTAACACCTTCCTTAGAGACGTCAGAAGAAAAATTTCATGAAACGCCAGCGCGAAAATATCTACCGAAGCTACTCAGGAAGTTTGGTGTACACATGAATTACAAAATCCAAAAGTCGATGTACTGGGGACTAATAGGGTCGATTAGGAAAAATGTTGCTCAAATAAATTCTGTAGAAAATATTTATTAAATGATTGATCTTACACTATAGTGGTGGATCACACGCTATTTTATGAGGACTCATTTTTGCAGCCGCCTCTCCTATTGTGAGTGAAATGAAATGATAATTAACTTCTTTTTAGTCCTTGAAGCAGCTAGAGTCTCCTCAAAAATCCTCTGCACCAGAGCCTATGTTAATCGATTCAGAAGTGAGACGTTCTTTGGGAGCCGAAGATATCGTGATGCTTGATGAAGAAACACGAATGAGTGCTGATTTTAGAGGTAGGTAACAATTTGCTGTTTGTGATAATGTTTTTCTATGATTTTAATGAAACTTGGAATACAACTGGCTTGTTAAAATATATAGAATTAGTCACTAAATTAGCAAATACAAGTTTCAATAAGGTTGATGATTTATCAAAATATTTCAACACTTGTTTATATCTATACTGATTTGCAGGTTCTAGTAGATCACAAACTCCAGCAAAACAAGCGATAGCACCTCCAGATATTATGGTAGAAGATTCGCAAGGAAGTATGGGCACGGAAGGAGGCAAATCCAGAAGTTCGAAAGCTCCGAAAATGGAAGTGTTTCAAGACTTGGAGTCGCTTACGGCTGAGCAGCTGGCCGAATATTCTTGGAATAGTCAAGGGCCGTTTATGATACAAGAACAAGTGGCCCAATATTTGGGTATAAAATCCTTCAAAAGGAAATATCCGAATATTACTAGGCGACAGGTGGATATGCAAGAAAGGGACTACTTGAAAGATTGCAATTTAGTTACGGAAACGCAATGCGATTTGGGTCTAACAGCCGTTATAGCGCAAGATATTTTGGATATAATGTATACAGATTTTCAAGATAAATTCGAAGATTATTGCAAGTGTCAACGAGAAAGACAAGCTAGAGAGTTAATAAACAAACAAAAAGCATTGAATCAATTTGTATTGAAGCCTGGATTCGATAAGCTGGACATTTTGGAACAAGCTGTACAATCGGCAGCTGCTTGGAACAAACAATTCAATAAAGCACGTAGAGAACAACGAAGAGCCCATATGGACCTTCAAACTTTGACAGTCCATTATCCCAAATCAAGAATGAAACCTGCACAAACCAGAAAAATCGGTCATTATCCTGTAGCTTTAGTACCGGGCCAATTTACTGACTATTACCAAGATTACACTCCAACAGAACTAAACAATTTACCTATAAACACTATGTGCTATGACGAAATTAAAATCGGAAATTATGAAAGCTACTCTGACGGTTCTAGCAGCGGCTCGGAAAGCGATTCTGATTCAACGTCTGGTTCCAGCTCAGACTCTGCAGTATGTGACGAAGACTATTGTGGCTGCGTGAAAAAGGTAAAAATTGACAATAATGATTCGGATGATGTGGTTATTATTGAAAATGATGCCAGCAGTAGCGATTCTTGTGTGTTGGTTAGTGTTACTGCAGGGCATGCTTAGAAAAACTTTTGTATTGTGGGTATTTAAGGATTTTTCTGTCTTATTTCACTATATTCAGTGTTTGTTTTAATGACTATTGCAACTTTTTAAGAATGGAAAAAATTTTAGGAAAACATTCGAATATGCACTAGGAAATCGATTTTAGGACAATGATGAGCCGGGTATAGGGCTAACAATGCTATTTATTTATTGTTCAATAAAAAAAAAAAAAAAACGTATACACAGTTTTCTATTATAAATATCTGAATCTTTCTCTTTTGTATTAGTAGTTTTATAGGAACTTTGTATATACATATAGACCATACAAGACACCTTTATATTGTATAATTTTCAAAGGTAAATAAAATGAAATTACCAAAAACGCTTGTTTTGTTTTATTTTTACCTACATAATAATTGGTTCTTATTTTTTCAAAACATCTATAAAAGTCTCTCGTGGCACTGAGATATTAGCAATCATTCGCATTTTCTTCTTTCCGGCAGCTTGTTGGGCTAAGAGCTTCTTTCTTCTAGTTACGTCACCTCCATACTATAATAATAAAAACAGTTCAATAATATAATGTAGACCATTCTGGAAGCTCTGCAATTTCCTCTTAGACTGGCAAATTGAACTAGGATAGTTGCAATGTGAAACAAGCAGATAAACACCACGTAATAATTATTTCTCTACAGATTTCCAAACCAAATAATTTTCACTTCTGAACAATTGATAAATCAATTCCTCACTTACCAGCCATTGTGTAACATCCTTCCTATACGCCTTGATATCTTGCCTAGCTAAAACTTTACCTCCAACTACTGCTTGCACAGCAATATTAATCATTTGTCTAGGAATAATTTCTTTTAATCTCAAAACCAATTTTTTACCCATGGTTTGAGACTTAGTTATGTGAACGATGCTGCTCAACTCTTCCACTGCTACGTTATTCAACAAAACTCCCATCTAAAATAAAATAGAAAATACAAACAAACAAAAAATATGACTCGTCAATTACCTTCACTAAATTACTGCTAACATATCCATTATCTTCGTAATCGAAACTAGCATATCCCGAACTGATTGTCTTTAACATATCATGGAAATCAATTACAATTTCACAAAGAGGCAAGTCGTACTGCAACATGATTCTGTCGTTGTCAATGTTGGTGGCATTTCTTTGTACTCCTCTTCTTTCCATACACAGGGACATTATTGGGCCCAAATATTTGTCTGGAGTTATTATAGTACCTGTAAAGTTACTCAAATTGCAAAAAAAAGTAAGTCAGAAGTTTTCTTTGCTGGTCAACAATAGTGTTTAATCTTTATCAACGATGATAATTTCTCTTCATTACAAATTATTACTACAGAAAATAATATGTAATAATTTAGAGTACTTCACCATCAAGGAGAAAAACAAGCAATCTAATATGAAATATAATCATATTAAAAGTTTACTATACACAGAATTTACAAGAAATGCGAAACCAACATGGAATACGACGTTCATGTAAATTGGTCAAACATTACTGTAATAAACGATGTCTTTTTTCTTTTGAAAACTGGGAGAGAATCTTCAACTACTAAACTAAGAGGACAAATTTGGCCCAAACCTATATTGAGCTGCGTCAAGTTAGCCCCCCCCCACATTCGAATTTTCTAAAAAAAATTGCAACCACTTACTGTGCTCGAAGTGTTCTTTACTGTACCGATGATATTTTGAACTGTGCCGTTTCAATAACAAAGTTATAGGAAAAAATAGATGAGGGGCTAACTTGACGCTCAGCCCCCCCAAAATTTTGGAAATCAGATAAAACCAAAAAGGATTCTTATCCAATTTGAAGTGTGCTGAAATGTGCTGTATCAGGTTTTTCTGAAAATTTCCATATTCGGTCATTTTCCGACAAAATCCTACTAGGGGGCTAACTTGACGCTCAGCCCCCCTAAAATTTTGGAAATCAGATTAAACAAAATTGAATTCTTATCCAATCTGAAGTGTGCTGAACTGTGCCGTATCAGGTTTTTCTGAAAATTTCCATATTCGGTCATTTTCCGACAAAATCCTACTGGGGGGCTAATTTGACGCTCAGCCCCCCCCAAAATTTCGAAAATCTGTTTGCACAAAATTGAATTATCATCCACTCTGAAGTGTGCTGAACTGTGCTGTACCAGGTTTTTCTCGAAATTTCCATATTCGGTCATTTTCCGACAAAATCCTACTGGGGGGCTAATTTGACGCTCAGCCCCCCCCCAAAATTTCGAAAATCTGTTTGCACAAAATTGAATTATCATCCACTCTGAAGTGTGCTGAACTGTGCTGTACCAGGTTTTTCTCGAAATTTTCATATTCGGTCATTTTCCGACGAAAAACTAAGAGGGGGCTAAGTTGATGCCAAATTTTAGAAATCAGATCAAAGAAAAACGGACTCTGACTCGGATTCTTATTAAATCTGAAGTGAGCTGAATTGTGCCTGATCAGGTTATTCCAAGTTTCCATGTTTGGCCATTTCTCGATATAAACCTAATGGATGGTATGTATGTATGTAAATTCTCAGAGCTGAACGTCAAGTTAGCTAGTAGGATTTTGTCAGAAAATGACTGAATATGGAAATTTTCCGAAAAACCTGATACAGCACACTGTAGACTGGATAAGAACTCAATTCTGTTCAATCTGATTTCTAAAATTTTGGAGGGGCTGACTGTCAAGTTAGCCTCCTAGTAGGATTTTGTCGGAAAATGACCAAATATGGAAATTTTCAGAAAAACCTGATACAGCACAGTTCAGCACACTTCAGATTGGATAAGAATTCAATTTTGTTTAATCTGTTTTCCAAAATTTTGGGGGGGCTGAGCGTCAAGTTAGCCCCCCAGTAGGATTTTGTCGGAAAATGACCGAATATGGAAATTTTCAGAAAAACCTGATACGGCACAGTTCAGCACACTTCAGATTGGATAAGAATTCAATTTCATTCAAACTGATTTTCGAAATTTTTTGGGGGGCTGAGCGTCAAGTTAGCCCCTCATCTATTTTTTACTATAACTTTGTTATCGAAACGGCACAGTTCAAAATATCATCGGCACAGTAAAGCACACTTCGAGCACAGTAAGTGGTTGCAATTTTTTTAGAAAATTCAAATGTGGGGGGGCTAACTTGACGGAGCCACCTATATTGTATACTTATAGAAGACGTTTTTCAATTAAGCATTATGGAAGAGTCATTATACCTAATATAAGTTATTGTACCAATCATTAACAATATCAAGTATAGCTGGACAGTGTAAAAATGTCAATCAAAAGTTCTTACCGATAACCATAGGTTCAAAACTTTCTTCAATCTGTTGAGGTTCTGGCCACAAAGCAGGATTATTAATGGTAATAACGTCTTTGCCTTCTTTCACATTTTGTTTTGTGGGTTTTAATTTGACTTTATAGATAACGGATGGGGCAGTAATAATAGGCTCAGCCCCGTATTCTTGATTGAGCCGTTGAGAAAACACTTCAAGATGTAGGAGGCCTAAAAAGCCCAACCTCCAACCTTGACCCAAAGCTGGACTAGAAAAGCTTAAATTATTAGCAAAAAAAAACTTGATCAATTATTTTACTACCTTGAATCAATTTCCACGCTCACTGCAGAATCATTTAAAGTCAACTTTTCAATGGCACTTCTTAAATTAACATGTTGCGACTGATCCATAGGGTAGATTCCTGCAAAAACCATTGGCCTTATCGGTTGAAAACCGGGCAACGCCTCAACTTTTTGTCCGAATAAATGGATTGTGTCTCCAACGAGAGCCTCTTGGCTCGAACGCATATTACAACCGACCAAACCAATTTGACCTGCAACTCTTCATGAAAAATAAAAACCAAACATTGCAGACCAACTAGTTACTTACAGCTGTTCAACAGGTTGTTCCTGAGGTCTTAGCAATGACAAAGTTTTAACTTCGTATTGTTTTTGTGTGTAACAAGATTGTATATTTTCTCCTACTTTAAGGCTACCTTGTTTGACAAAAATTAACGATAATACACCTCTGTATTTATCATAAGAACTATCAAATAGGAGAGCTTTTAAAGGGCCATTCCTTGCCACTTTGGGAGAAGGTAGACGAGTTACTATGGCTTCTAAAACTGAATCTATTCCAATACCTAACTTTGCTGATATCTGAAAACAATCTGATTTATTCAAATGTGGAATATTTTTCAAATAACTACCTTTAAAACTTCGTCAGCTTGTATATCAAATAAACTTTGTAGCTGCTGAGTTACTTTGGCCGGATCAGCATTTTTCAAATCAATTTTATTCAAAACTGGTATAATAACTAAGTCATTACCGAAAGCCAAATAAAAATTTGCCACTGTTTGGGCTTGTACGCCATCATTTGAATCTACCAAAAGAATAACGCCTTGACAAGCTGATAGGGAGCGTGAGACCTAAATATTACAAATTAATATTTGATTGGCAAAATTGTTGGGTATTACCTCGTTGGAGAAATCAACATGTCCAGGAGTATCAATTAAATTTAATAAATATTGCTCGTTGTTGTACTCGTAAAACAGTGAGGCCGTTTGAGCTTTTACTGTGATGCCTCTTTCTCGTTCTACTTGTAATTTATCCAAAATTTGGTTTTGTCCTCCCGGTTTTATGGCTCCTGTGTGTTCAAGTAATCTATCAGCCAAGGTACTTTTACCATGGTCTACATGGGCGATTATACTAAAGTTTCTTATTCGTTCTACGGGTATTTGGGTAAAATCTATGTCCTTTTTTGAGTCACAATAGAATCTTTCGCAAAATATATCTAAACTACTGAAAAATTAGGAAGTAACATTGCCTACACTTGTATTAGTTGTTTATCGCTTACCTTTTTGCTAATTTTAGTTTTCTATGTGCGGTTTTGTTGAAGGATATCGAAAATAGGTTTCTGAATATCATTTCAAGAGAATCATTTAGGAAAACCCAAAAGTTTTTTAATTTAATAAAGTTTTGTGGATTTAAATTTTGAAAACATACATAACCCTACTTCCTGTTTACATTATAAATTTTGAGAATCGTCCACGAGATGACGCTGTGTCGCTGCTACAGAAATCTGCTTTTTAGAGAAAGGGTTTGAGAGTGAAAACTGAAAGTGAGGTTATGAAATCAGACAGATTTGTTTATGTTTATATATTTCCTTTATTTACCAAAATTAAAAATTTCCAAATAGAAATAAGTGTATATTGTTTCTATATATAAATTCTGATACCTCCCTAAGCTAGAAATGTTTGAAAAAATGTTGAAGAAGATGAAAGCGTACTTATTTTCCAAAGGTAAGAACTTTCAATTGATTTTAAATACAATTTTTAGGTATAATAGCTGGGTTATAATAATTCCAAGTTAGGAATAAAATACTGAAGTTTTCTTAGTTGAATGTCGGCCAACCCAACTTCAAATTTAGGTAATTTAGTAAGTTTTAATTCTTAATTTATATCAAGGTATGAACAACAGCATCATACGAAGGTTCACCATCTTAATTTCTAGCAAGGGATTATTCATTCACTAAGGGAAAAATGTGATAAAATTTCGGATTTAGAGCGAGTTTGAGAGATTTCGGGTAATTTCGAAGGATTTCGAAAGGATTTCGAAAATATTTCGATGGATGATTCACTGTAGCTAGCCGAGGGGCTTTTCACCTACCAAAATTTGTACACCGATTTCCATTTTTCTTAACATTTCACAGTATTTCCATGCATTTTCGAGTATTATTCTCTTAATATTTTAGAGTTTTACCTACTAGCTAATTCAATTTAAACAATAGGCTAAATTTCATTTTGTTACCACTACATTGATTTGACAAGGTATACTGAAAGTAAAGGAAACCAAACACCTCTAGGTAGATTGGTAGGTACCAACAAAACTTGGAATGGGCTGATAGGGCAAAAAAAAAAAAAACCTATTCTCAATCGCTCTACTATCTTCTCTCAAAGGCCATTCAAAATTGTCTCAATTTCTTTTTAAAAATTTCATGATACAGGATTTTTTAGTCATTCTCAAAAGTCTGCTTACATAGGAACCAATCTTCATCAAAATAGATGAATCAGAATCAGAATATCTTTATTTTAAAGAAACATACAAAAGAGATTATAAAAAACATTAATTGTTGTTTAACTAAATAGTGTCAAAATATATACCTAAAGTTAAATTTAAATTTGAGTTTTACAACGATAAGTATTCTCCAAATAAAAGAGTTAAAAAAGGAACATTTTAAAATTTTCTCCAGTATATAATTTGAATATTTGTAAAGTAAATTGTGCTTACAGTCAAACAGTAAAAAATAAGTCATCAGTACATACATAGTTAAAAAGAACAGAACAGTTAAAAAGACAGGTACTTTGTATAAAATAAAAACAAAGAAAGACAATTTTACAGTTTAAAATATAAAATATCACAAAAAGTTATCACAAGTCTGGCCAACAGTTAAAAAGAACAAAATATTTACCACTAGAGAGGAACAAAATAGTTTTCAGTTATTACTAGGCAGGTACATCTTAATTTAGAAATTCATTAATCGTGCTCTATTGAAACAAGATGCTGAAATAAAACTTTTTTAAAACAGTTTTCTGTTATTTTTAATTTTAATTTTTGGGGAAGAAAGTTAAAGAGTTTTATACACATGTAGGTGGGTCCAGTCTCAGTGAGAGAGAGCCTGTGCACTGGATAGTTTAAGACAATTGACCTGGTATTATGTTTATGTTGTGGGAGATAGTTGAGAAACTTATCAAAGTTTTTATGTAGGAACATAAGACATTCATAGATACCTGGTAGTGTAAGAATATTTGTTTATTTGAATTGTCCTCGGCAAGACTCTCTGTAGGACAAGTTAAGAATTTGTCTCAGCACACATTTTTGCATAACAAATGCATCTCCTTCGCATCCTGCTCTACCCCAGAATATTATTCCATTCCGTGCAAAAGAATAGAAAGTGGCATAGTAGACAGATAATAGCGATTTTCTGTCTAGGAATTGTTTTAGAACACGGAAAGAATAGCAGGTGCTACTAAGTTTTTTAGAAAGAGCTTGATTTTGTTTGTTCCATTTTAGGTAGGTGGTGATCTATTTCTATTCAGTTTATGGTCTATACATACACGAGTGCCTCTTATATTTGCATAAAAACAAAAATGAATTTTTAATACATAACACTAACACCACATACAATACAAGGACCACAGATATTTATTATCCTATTCATAGATTAACTTTAAGTGAAAAAAATCCATCTTATAACTGTATTAAAATATTTAATAAATTATCAAACGACTTTAAAATAATAGAAAACTACAAGGAATTTAAAAATAAAACCAAGAAATTGTTAATAGACATAGAACCATATTGTGTGAAAGATTACTTAGATATGTAATTTAAGTATATTGTTTTGTGACGCCATTTCATTTCATGTTATTTTGTAATGCTGTAATATGTATTGTAAAAACTTAATTTGAAATAAAGCTACTATTCTATTCTATTCTATTCCCAGAAATTTCACACTATCTGAAAGCCTTACATTCTGGGAAGAAATATTTAAACCTGTTGGATGGTTATTAGCTGACTGAAGGGTATGAAAACTCATAAAAATGGTTTTATCTGTGTTTAACAGCAATAAATTACTGTTAAACCAGTTTTGGGCTTTACCGAGACAGAAAGTTGCTCGCTCTTCGAGTTGCAAGAGGCCATCTGCAGTGACACTGACATTTGTGTCCACAGATTATTTGTGTCATCAGCAAAATTGACTGTCTTTACATGATCGCTGGTTATATGGGACGAAAAATCGTTTATATAGAGGACAAAGAGAATAGGGCCAATAACACTTCCCTGTGGGATGCCTCTGGTGACCTCCTTGCTCTCAGAACAAACAACCCACCCGTCCTTTTGAATAGTTACCATCTGTGTTCTATTCGCAAGATATGACTCCAGCCAGCGCAAAGCAGAGCCTGTTACTCCATATATTTTGAGCTTGTCCAAAAGAATCTGGTGATCCAGACTGTCGAAAGCCTTGGACAAGTCCAAGAAAGCTCCAAGAGTGTTTTTGCCATCCTCAAGATTTTCGTAAATCTCCCCAATAAATTCAAAGATGGCAGTTTCAATTGATCTGTTCTTTAAAAAACCGTACTGAGAAAGGTTTAGCAGATTATGCGTGAAAAAAAAGTCTAAGAGCCGATTACACATTGCAGTTTCAAAGATTTTAGAAAAGGAGGGTATAAGACTGATCGGTCTATAATTCTCAAATTTTTTTGTATCTCCTTTTTTATGAATTGGAATGACCATTGCTTGTTTCAGCTTCTCAGGGAAAATACCAAATTGAAAAGAGTTGTTGATAATTAAGCACAGAGGTAAGCAAAGAATTGTGACGATGTGACAAAGTTTTATGAGGTGATTTGAGATTCCATCAAATCCAGAGCTTTTTTTATTATTCTTTAGATTTTTTATTATGTTAAGTACCTCCTCTGGTGATACTTGCACTAAATTTATGTTTGAAAAATTTGGAAAAATATTTTGTCTTGGATCATGTTTGGAATTTATTTGGCCTACTGCATTGCTGGCGACATTTAAGAAGAAATCATTGAGATCATTGCAAACCACCTCCGGGTTTCCCTCAAACATATATGTTTTTTGATTTTTGTAACAGCCCATTATTTCATTCACAATCACAACCTGCCAAACAGCCTTTGATTTGTTAGCCGACCTCAAAATATTATTTTGATAAAACATTTTACGTGAGTTTGTTAACAGGTTATTATATATCTTTTTTTGGTGACAGTATGTCTCCCTGAACTGGGGGTAAGTACTTATTACTAAGATCATAAAGTACCTATATCAAATTGTTTTTTGCACTCCATGACCTCAGGGGACTATGCCAAATTATGTTGTTTCTCTTTCTTTTCTTAATAATTTTCTAAGGAAAACTTTCCTCATAAGCCACCGAGACATTTTCCATATAAATGTCCCACTGCCCATTTATATTTATGTCTTCTGGTTTACAGCACAATATATCAAGCCAATAATTTTTACTTAAGAGATTTTTAAAAAGATTTTTGTTGTCCTCACTAAAGATTCTTTTTTTTTATAGTTTCAGGGCTTTTTTGTTTTGCTTCTGCAAGAAAGGAAATTTTTTGACCAAAGTGGTCAGAAGTATGAAGATTGAAAACCTCAGATGTATAATTTTGTATGTTGGTGTAGATATTATCAATGCAAGACTTTTTGTCCCCATCCACACGTGTATATTCTTTTATTGATGGTGAAATATTAAAAGTATTTAAAAAGTTAATAAATTTTTGTGGAAACTTTTTGTGTTTTTCTGTTAAAATATCTACATTAAAATCCCCTGCAATGAAGACAAAAGAGTCTTTTTTTTTATCAAATAACTTAAAAGGATGGCATAGTATTTAAAGAAAAGTTCTCAGAATCAAAACACGATCATGAATTAGAGGAGCTATAACTTTTCAATGTAAGGAATTCTTTTGTGAGGAATTTTAATGCTTTTCGTAGATCCGCTAGAAACTCTAGAGAAAACTGTTTTTCTGGATTTTGACTTTTTGTGGTTTCTCATCCCTTAAACTCTATAAATGCGGTCAGTAGAAAGTCTGCTATTATTAGCATCACGATTAGCATTAAAAAACCAACATAATGCAGACTTTCTTACCAATATACTCCGACCATCATTTAATTCAATGGTAATACAAGATTCTTTATTATCCTTGTAATTACTGCTTTTTGACCTCTTTTTTGAAAAATCCGAGGTTCTCACCATCAAATAAAATAAACTGGTACTGTAAACATTCAAAAAAAGTACCTATGTAATTTATGAGAAGAAGCAGCGCTCAGCAGGAAGGTCAGAAACAAACTGTTTTCTCAGAATCATTAGGCTCGTATAACCAAGTATTTCAAAGTATTTCTAGGTATTCCTCGAAGTGTTCCCAAGTATTTCTAAGCATTTCTAGGTATTTCCAAAGTATTTCTAGATACTTCCAAGTATTTCTAGCTATTTCCAAGTATTTCCAGGAATTTGTACACCGATTTCCTTGGGTGAAAAGCCCCTCTATATTCCAACACTGTACAATGTACCATCGTCACAATTCTGCGCAAAGCCGAAAATTTGTGCGTACAACCCAAAATTCGTATACAGAGTGGTTTCGAAACCGTTCTTGGAACGGTTTTTGAAGTGTTGGTGTTGGAACGAACCTTATGACAAGATTTCAGATTTAGAGCGATTTTGAGGGATTTCGGTTGATTTCGAAGGATTTCGGATGATTTCGAAAAATTTCGGATGATTCCGAAGGATTTCGGGTGATTTCGAAGGATTTCGGAGAATTTCAGGTGATTTCGCAAATATTTTAATTTGATTTTAGACTGTTACTTATCTTATAAGTATATTCGAAAGTGTATTGGTATAAACTGAAAAATGGCAGCGTTGACCGATTTATGAATTTTGGGCCAATTGCGACAGATTTTTGGGTCTGCGGAAAGATTTCTGAGAGATTTCGGAGGGATTCCGACGAATTTCGGAGGGATTCCGGCAGATTTCGGAGGGATTTCGGCGGATTTCGGAGTGATTTCGTGGATTTCGGGGATTTCGGTAGGATTTCAGATAGATTTCGGGGATTTCGGACGAATTTGTGAAAATCATTTTTAACAAGCATTCAGATAAGGTATTACAAGTAGGGGGTTGCCATTTGAAATTATTTAGTGGTTATGGCTGGGGTGAGAGGGTAAGTCGAGGGGTAAGTAAAAACAGGTTAGTTATTATAGCATTTTGATTTTCGATTCCACTTCCCTATTACAGAAATTGTTTTCAGCAAGGGGTAAACCAGGGTACCTATATACAAGCCTCATGTAATCTCATGTATTCTTATTTTCCCATTTTTCACCACTATTTTTGAATTTTGGGCCAATTGCGACAGATTTTTGGGTCTGCGGAAAGATTTCTGAGAGATTTAGGAGGGATTCCGGCGAATTTCGGAGGGATTCCGGCAGATTTCGGAGAGATTTCGGCGGATTTCAGAGTGATTTTTTTGGATTTCGGAAAGATTTTGGGGATTTCGGAAAGATTTCGGGGATTTCGGACGAATTTGTGAAAATCCTTTTTAACAAGCATTCAGATAAGGTATTACAAGTAAGTAGGGGGTTGCCATTTGAGATTATTTAGTGGTTATGGCTGGGGTGAGAGGGTAAGTCGAGGGGTAAGTGAAAACAGGTTAGTTATTACAGCATTTTGATTTTTGATTTCACTTCCCTATTACAGACATTGTTTTCAGCAAGGGGTAAACCAGGGTACCTATATACAAGCCTCATGTAATCCCATGTATTCTTATTTTCCCATTTTTCACCACTATTTTTGAATTTTGGGCCAATTGCGACAGATTTTTGGGTCTGCGGAAAGATTTCTAAGAGATTTCGGAGGGATTCCGGCGAATTTCGGAGGGATTCCGGCAGATTTCGGAGGGATTTCGGCGGATTTCAGAATTTTTGTGGATTTCGGAAAGATTTTGGGGATTTTGGAAAGATTTCGGACGAATTTGTGAAAATCCTTTTTAACAAGCATTCAGATAAGGTATTACAAGTAAGTAGGGGGTTGCCATTTGAGATTATTTAGTGGTTATGGCTGGGGTGAGAGGGTAAGTCGAGGGGTAAGTGAAAACAGGTTAGTTATTACAGCATTTTGATTTTTGATTTCACTTCCCTATTACAGACATTGTTTTCAGCAAGGGGTAAACCAGGGTACCTACATCATACAAGCCTCATGTATTCTTATTTTTCCAGTCGTCACCACTATTTTTTTTCTATGATTAATGGGTTAATGGCTGCTGCTCCTTTTACGGGCAATTTGTCAGCTCATTTCATTATTGTGTTTCAACTTCATCTGGCTCCAGACCATCTTTGTTGCACTTTCACTTTTTTCAACTGTAGTGTTGGTGGTTTCCGTATTGATGTTCAATTTTTAATTCTTTGTTCTTCACTGTTTTCCTATTTAACACGATTTTATTTCTGGAACTATAAGTCCAAATGAGCTGAAATTTTCGGGGATTGTAGACCTCTACTGGAATAAGAATCGCTGAAAATTTCAGCTTTCTATTTCTAATAGAACAGAAGTTATGACCTCTCAAAGTTTTCCAAAATCTAAATCATAAGGCTACCTTCTTACTAAAACGATGAAATTTCAAATTGTTTGTTGTTGAGATTTTGCGTCCTAATGGTCCTTTGGGATCCCTCAAACTCCATACACTAAATTATTCTGAGATTTGGAGCCAGATTCTATGAAAAAAGACACTCAGAAAAATTGATTGATAAATCACTCCAAATTGCTTAACACGATTTTATTTCTGGAACTATAAGTCTAAATGAGCTGAAATTTTCAGGGTCTGTAGTACTCTACTAGGATAAGAATCGCTGAAAATTTCAGCTTTCCATCTTTAATAGAGAAAAAGTTATGATTTTTCAAAGTTTTCCAAAATCCAAATCATAAAGTAGCACCCTTCTTACTGAAACGATGAAATTTCAATTTTTTTTTTGTTGAAATTTTCTGTCCTAATGGTCCTTTGGGATCCCCCAAACTCCGTACACTAAATTATTCTGAGATTTGGAGCCAGATTCTATGAAAAAAGGCACTCAGAAAAATTGAAAAATTGATAAATCACCCCAAATTGCTTAACACTATTTTATTTCTGGAACTATAAGTCCAAATGAGCTGAAATTTTCAGGGATTGTAGACCTCTACTGGGATAAGAATCACTGAAACTTTCAGCTGTTAGTTATGACCTTTCAAAGTTTCCCAAAATCCAAAACATCACCTCATTATACCAATCAGCAATAATAGATCTAGGGATGAAAATTAATGATTCATGCCAGAATTTCATTCCTGGCAAACACAGAAAAATATGGGGAGAACTACACTTTCACAGCCCATATGATCAATTTTTATGACAAATTTAACCAGATGAAGAAGCTTCTTTTACAGTACATTAGCTCAGTATTTGAAGACCACTGGCATTTTTTTTACAATGTATAGTAATTCCAAAATAAAAAGTAATGCGGTAGCATCTTGAATTGTTTTATTATAAAACATGACTTTACATAGGTACATAACATTTTCAAAAATATCAGCTTCAATAGTAGTATAATAAAAATCAGTACCCACAACTAACAGGATATTCTTCATCATCCAATCCTTGTACAAGCACACTAATTTCCTGCCAAAATTTGGTTTACTCATTATAATACTTGAAAAGAATAATGGTTTCAACTTATCTTGTATGTGGAGAAATTAAACTAAAATTCTATAAAAATCCAGTGTACAACATAGAATCTCCAGAAGTTGTACAACCTCCTGAATGTCAAAGAAAGCCTCCAGAACATAAAATTATTATTTTTTTCAGATAAATCATCAACCAAAGATGCTTCCAATCTCTGCCTTTGCATAACCACTCTCCTTCTTCTAATACCTCTTGTTGCTGCAATATCAATGAGATTTCTCATACCATGTTCAGGTTATGCCGAGTTAAACATAGATACTCAAGATGAAGCCCTATATCCTGTAAATGACAAATTTTTAAGCTTGGGCTTGGACAGTACGGTAATAACTGAAGGATTTAAACATTTTAATGTTTCGTAAGTTTGATTTTGGATGTAAACTACAATAACGTGCTTTAAAATTGTCATTTTAGTAATCCAAAACTTATACAAATGATTAAATATTTGTCACCAGCCTATCTTAGGATTGGTGGAAATCAAGCTGATCAATTAATATTCACAAGAAACAACTCAAATTTAATTAACCAAAAATCTTATGTTTTACATGGTATGTGTCTGTGTATTTAAAAAAAAAAAATGCATTCACTGAAGATTATTTTTCAGCATCTGATTGGTTAAAATTATACAATTTAGCCAAAAAAGCTGAAATAAATATAATTTATGATTTAAATTCCTTATTAAGAAACGATAACGGATGTTGGAATTCCGAAAATGCCATCGATATGATAAATTTCTCACAAGAAAACGGACTTTCAGTTGATTGGGAATTAGGAAATGGTAAATCCATAATATACCTAATAACGATGTGTCCGAGATAAGGAGGGCCAGTATGAGGATCTCGGAAACAGTGAAAGATACGACGTTGTTCAAATTAGGAAAAAGTTGCGCAATTTTATGCTCATTGGAATACCATTCTGATATTTCTGAGTAATATTTAAGATATCCGGGAAAACAATTATCACCTTATTTAAAGAGATATTTCGAAATAAATGGCACTTCATCATTGCCACTTTTCCTCCTTCACGATATTGCATTATCAAATTTGTAATCCGACGTTTCGTCTTTGGTCCACCATATCATCAGGCCCTCCTTATCTTGGACACATTTTATATACATTTATTTTCATCTTTTGTAGTTTTCAGAACCAAATTCTTACCCTCATAAGTTTGACGCCTATGTGAATGCTACCCAATTAGGTTTGGATTACCATACTCTAAGGGATATTTTGAATTCGTACGATTTGTATAAGAATTCTTTACTAGTAGGACCGTCTACTACTAGATTAAGAACTAAAGAGATTGAGGAATATTTAGGTGATTTTTTAGAGAGCGGGATTGAGGCTGTTAGCGCTATAACATTTCATCAGTAAGTACTGATATGTGATTCATTGATCTTTCAACCAAGTTTTCGATACATTTGCCTTGAAGTATTGGACTATGAAGGTGCAATAATTTAAAATGTATACCTAGATTTGTTCTACAAAATTTTGTAGAAAATGTATTCCTTGTTCAAACAATCAACAATCAATAGTTGATGAGTTAGGGAACTGCCTAAAAATATTAATAATCAATTCCTTTTTGCAGCTATTATTTTAGTGGAGAGGATGCAACATGGGAGCAATTTTTGGACATAAAAAACTTCGATTATTTAGAAGAATGCATTGAAATAGTTAATAAAGTAGTGGCGCCTTTTGCTTCAAAATTGAAGCCCCTCTGGCTAGGTATTAATTATTTTACATTTTGGTTTGTATACAATCATGGATGTATTTTTAGGAGAAACTTCTACAGCTTGGCACGGGGGCGCTCCAAATTTATCAGACAGATTTATCGGGAGTTTCCTTTGGCTAGACAAACTTGGTCTCAGTGCGAAATTGAAAATCGATTTAGTTGTCAGGCAAAGCGTTTTTAAGGATAATTATGCTTTGATTGATAATAATTATGATCCTAATCCTGTAAGTAATCCATATGATAATATAAAATGTATCTATGTAAGCAATTTTAGGATTGGTGGGTAAGTTTGCTCTATAAAATGGTTGTCGGTCCTGAAGTAATTACAACACAGTTTGAAGGAGATGAAACAATAAGGCTTTATGCACATTGTGCTAAAGGAAATAAGTTGTGGAATAATGGTTCTACTGTTGTAGGTAGGTAATTAATTAGCACATTTATCATTATTATTCAGTTATATGATAATTATTAGGCTTGTGGATAATTGCCTAGATATATTGTCAACTCCTTAAATAAAATATTCTACAATTTTTTCCAGTATTTGGTGTAAATCTTAGCACCAAAAACGGTTACGTTAACGTTAAGGAACTACATTCAGATAAAATAATGTACTCCTATGTGCTCAATTCAGATAACTTATTTTCACAGTAAGTGATTTACACAAACATTAATCCCGAATAATTTAATACCATAAATATTCCAGGTATATAAATTTAAATGGCAAAACGTTGGAATTAAAAAACGATTTATCGCTGCCAGATATTAAACCCAACGTTATAGAGAGGAGTACGGATTTGAAGATGCCCCCTCATTCTATAGTGTTTTGGGTGTTTACGAATACAAATCTTAAGGCTTGTATAAAAACTTGAAAACAACTAGGGTGATAATGTCTAAATTCAAAATTACGTATATCGTTTTTGGTAATGAACAATACAATTTTTATTATTTAAAATTTTTAGGATTTCTCATTTCTAGAATACACAGTTTTCAGCAGTGGCGGCTCGTGACTATTTCAAGTGAGGAGGCTAATTACAGTATAGGATTTCATGAAATTCCTCGGAATTCCACTAAGATTTCAATTTCAAAATTCCATATTTTTTTTTTTAACTTTACTAAAATTCCTCAAAATTTTACCACTAAAATATCCTGGAATTCCACAAAATTTTCATATAATTTTTTTTTGGAATTTCATGTACCGTAGAACGGGGTTACTTGATAGGACTTTTGGACTTCAACTGATCGCACACATCAGAGTAAAGCGTTTTCAGCCAAACCAAAATTTTTTTAGATTACTTTGAGCTCCTGGCTATCGATTGCCATGAAAATTATTCCCATATCCCCCACCCCTTTTCTGTAAAAAAATTTTAAATGTCATTTTTCAAGTCGCCCCGGGATGGGGACACTTGAAATTCTCCGGTTTCTGGCGTTAAAACAGCAAGTAGGGGCATAATTGGGGCTTCTTGAGAAATAGAATAAAAAATAGGCATTGCAAAAACCACTTTTTGCAAAAGAAAACACGGTTTTGCATAAGAAAAACGTTTATTTTCATAAAATACAATAAAAAAACAAATCTCATGAGATCAAAACGGAACAAATATTATCTCTTTGGTGAAACGTCAAGTAATAACAAAACATTTATGGAAAAAACATAAAAATGAACATAAATTCTCATAAAAAAAAACGAAAGACTCTTTAGCGACAGTGGAACGTCGTGAAACAAATAGGTTTTTTCAAAAAATAGGTAGGAATTCTTAAAACTAAAGTAAATTCTCACAAATGGAAGGCACTCAGGTAAGTCCAAATTAAAGAAACAAATTATGCTACATTGACTCCTTTGTGGCGCTCTTCCAAACTTTCGAAGGAAATTTGCCCTCTTCGAAGAATTTTGAATTGGGGAAGTTTTTCTAATATCTCGTTTCTTTGAACAATGCCAATGTCCTCTACATCGGGATAAACAAAAGCATTTTTCAGCTTAAGAGATTTTCTTAAAAATTTACATTGGAAAGTATTCCCTTTCGAATTCAAAATTTTGGCAACATACGTTTTGGAGGTCCCACTTTCAGTCTTCAAAGTCACTAAGATAAAGTCTTCCGGTTCAAAAACAGTCGCAGCAGGGCCATTATTAACATTTACTAAGTCTTCAGTTTCTTCGGAACAATTTTCAAGATCAGAAAACGTCTCAGGTTCATTGTCACTATCAGCATACGGAATGGAATCATGGTCACTATCCGATGAGCTTCCATATTGTCTATTATTGTTTCTCTTCTTTTGTTGGCGTGGGATTTTTTTGTCTTCTTTTTTCTTGTTCAGTTTGATGTTTGAACAAGATGGTTCATTCTGTTCTAGATCCTCTTGGGAAATACTTTTACCTGCTTCGATATTCAATTTCTTCTTTCTTCCCCTTGCAGTGTCTGCATTTCCAAATCGGGATCTTTGAAACAAATCTGTCAGTGATTGTGTCAATAAATTATTTACTGCTTCTTCGGTAACTTCCTTGGGGAGCTTGCATAAAATTTTTTCCCTGTCGAGAGGAAAAATACCTGTTGCTTCAAAACCGGCTCTTATATTATCTTCTGTTCTTCCTTCTATGCTGTTCAAGGCCTGATTAAGGAGCCGTGGAAATACATCTTTTCTTACGACACCTTTGTTATGCTTTTTCCACTGTTGCAAAGTTTTTCTCCAGGCGCCTTTGACAGGCCTAAACACGCTGACGTCAAGTGGTTGCGTCATATGAGTACTGTTGGGGGGAAGCAGAATGAATTTTATATTAAGCTCTCGACATTTGTTGATCACATTAAACGAGATGTGACTAGCTAAATTGTCACCAATTAGTGCCTTTGGACCCTCTGGCAAATTTTGAAAATATGGTACAATCACATGAAAAAACCAATCCTCAAAAATGCTTCCGTCAAACCATCCCGATTTGCTACGGTTGAATCTTGCTCTTGGTGGACCGTTTTCGGTCCAAGTACTCCACAGATGATCCGCCTTATAAACGATGTACAATGGTAGTAAATTTCCGGAGGCAGAACATGAGAACATGACAGATGTGGCAGCTTTCGATGTATCCATAATATGTTCAGCTCTTTTGCTAGCTCTTCGAACAACAACTTTTTTACGTCCCGGGTCGTCCGTAAAATTTGTTTCATCATAATTCACGACTGCCTCAGGAGGAATACCTTTTAAAGATTGAGCGAGGTGATCGAAATATTTGTTAATAGTTAGGTGGCTTACCTTCGCCCTGCTTTCTTTGATTGCTTGCGACATTCTTGCTGATACCTGTTCAGAATGACGCTGTAGAAATCGACTCATCCACCCTTCACCAGGTTTATTGTTCACAAATTGCGGCTGGACGATACCCTTCTGGTTCAAATAATTTTCAACTAGCAATTTGATGTCCAGGCTATCCATAGGAAATCCCCAGTCTGCAGCCGTAACAATACACTGAACAATCGCTTGTTCTTCGACGTCTGGTAGAGCAGTCTGTCCCCCTGGTTTTTTAGTGTGGAGGTTCCTAATTTTCCGGTACAATGTAATGTATGGGATATTGTACGCTTCGCCGACCTCCCTCATGTTTTCGCCCCTCCTGCACCTTTCTACAGCTTCCAGCAGGTGTTCTTCGGAATAATCCCGGTATTTTCTGCTCCCAGCCCGTCTTACATAATTACGGACCATTTTTCAAGTCGCCCCTGGAATGACAAAAAAAAATAAATGAGGCCGCCATTTGTAAACGATGCAAACTATCATTGATATATTACTATACCCTTCAAGCCTAATAAGTAGGCATACCAAAATTAATTTGACGCCACCTAGAAATATTCCTCTTACCTGCACCACTTGGAAGTATTCAGCCTTAAAAATCAGTCGTTTTCGCACCAAAAACTCAACCACTCAGGTGCGCCAGCGCGAACGGCCAAGGATGAACTAAAACCGCCGGGCGGTCACTCATAGCATGCTGCACGTGCGCTCTGGGATTTACGGAGTTCCAACTTCAACACCCAGATGGCGGCACAATATTTTAAATGAAAAAACGTAATTTTTCAAGCGGCCCCTTATGTTTCAAGCCACCCCGTTTTACGGTAGTTTCTTAAAAAAATTCTCGGAATTCACTAAAATTTTATGAGAATATCCACGTTCATAACCGAAAAGTTCTCAAAAGTCCAATGAAACTTCAAGAAATTTTTAAAATTTAATTTATTTTCATAAGAATTTTTCGGAATTTCACTAAAATTCTCTTTTAATAGCCAGGAATTTCTGGGAATATTAATGAAGTTTCAAGTAATTTCTTAAAAATTCATCGAAATATATTGAAATTTCATGTTATTACATGGTAATTTTTCGGAATATCACCGAAATTCCATGTTTTTAGCTGGAAATTCCTCGGCATAACTAAAATTCAGTGAAAACTGAAATTTCATGTTGGGAATTTCGGTGTAATTTCATGTAATTGTGTAAAATTCCTCCATGTAATTCATTTAGGATTTCGTGTTATTCGATCGGAATTTCACTGAAATTTCAAGTAATTCGAGAGGAATTAAAATTTAATGTGAATTCTATGGAAACTCCGCAAAAATTTCACATCTAATTCCTTTTTCAGAATAACATAATTATTCTACCGAAATTCCACTAAATTATGGAATTCTGAGATTTCAATAGATTTTTGGAGATTCCAAAGGATATTTGGGAATTTTAAAGGAAATATTTTTCAGAAATGTCAATAATTGGGTTTAAAATAACCTATAAATCGAGATTTGATAAAAACATATGGCAACGCTGCTCGTGATACAACAAACGTCAAAAAATTGAAATTTCAAACCTTGGGTTTTTTTGACAATCGATACAAAATGACGTCTTTTTATTTCAAAGATTACGGCCCGAAGGGCCGGAGTATGAAAAATCAGTTAACAATGAACGGATTTGTTCGGATAAAACTTTTGTCGCACGACACTTTGGCAATATTGACAAATGTCACCTGTCAAATTTGACACATGTTCGACTTTTTTCCCGCTCTACTATAAAAGCTACGAAAACCAAACCCCGGTACAAGGCAGTTTCGCGACGCCAACTATAAATTTGTGTCAAAAAAAAATTGACAGCTGTCAACGTCAAAAAAGGTTTTTTTTTTTTGCGAATTTCGAGAAAAAAAGTGATAGAAAACGATCCCCGGACCCCAAAAACCTTAAATAATAATTCCAAAAAAAAAAACCAACGAAAATGTCATTCCAAAACCTACCTGATAAAACTAAAGTTTTTCTCACTTACCCCGTTAAAACACTGGAAATTTTTGGTGGAAAATGAAGAAAACTCAAAGCCTCGTACTTTAAATCGGTTTTTCCGACCAGAAAAGCCTTGGAAAAGCGGACAAATTCAAAGAAAAACCTCTAAAAATGACATTCCAAAGCCTACTTAATTAAATTTGAGTTTTTGTCACTTACCCCATTGGAAAACTGGAAATTTTTAGCACAAAATGTAGGAAATTCAAAGCCTCGTATTTCAAATCGGGTTTCTTGACTGAAAACGGCTTGGAAAAGTGGAAAATTCGAGGAAAAACTGAATAGAAATGTAAACACGTCAATTAAAAATTGCCGACTGTCAAAACTGGCAAATGACATTTATTACAAAACCTATTTGAAGTTGGTACAAACGGTGTTGCCACATCAAAACTTCCAAAAAAAACATTTTAAAACATATAACAATATGTTTATTACATATACAAAACCTATTTGAAGTTGGTACAAACGGTGTTGCCACATCAAAACTTCCAAAAAAAACATTTTAAAACATATAACTCCGGCCCTTCGGGCCGGTATTACTGAGTATCCCAGATTCACAGATATTTGTCGTGGAGGGCGGGATTGATTGAAATAATGTTGTCAGATTTTTCTAAATTACATTGAAATATCGAAAATTGGAAAGTGTAATTTGTTAATTATTATTTTAATTAGAAATCAGGAATAAAAAATTGAGATTGAATTTTCAATATTTTGGGGGAGGTTCAGCCTCCCCTGCCTACTTTGACGAGCCGCCACTGGTTTTCAGTAATAATAATAAGTAGATCATGTATTATCATCAGGCAAGAGAAAATAGATAATTTACAAAGCAGATGGACTTAAATTATAAAGTGGCAGTTTTTTGAAAATAATTTCTAAAGACAATTTATTATACTGTCACAACCCCTATACGTTTCTTCCTGGGACGTCACAAAAGGAGCGTGACCTAGGGGTGTAGGTGGGATTCAGGTACAGAGAAACTCGCTTGGTATAAGTACAATAAGATATGTATTGATAAAATAGAATAATATTACCTTAGGAATAATATCATGACGTCTCTTCTACAGAGGGACGTACCTACTCCTTAGGTCACTCTGTACACTTGGTGTGACTGAAGACTGAAGCTGGGCTTGAGACAGATCCAGAAGGGCGTTTCCCAATAAAGGTAGTTTGCATTGGGAGGAGACTTAGTTAGAGGGGCTTTTCCCAATTGAGATAGTTTTGCACTAGCCTTAGTCTGCCGGTAATGGATCTTGGCGCGATATTTATACCAAATTATTGCTGACTCGTCGACACATTTTGATAAAATTGATGTACAGAGTGGTATTTACTTAAGTAGTTGACAATACATATATGTCAGATGTATATGCTACACACATGAATAATATAAAGTGCATAAACAGATAAATGCGAGCCTAATGAATCGTTTAGAAATTTCGCAACAGCCAGCCCTAAAGTAAAGTGTATTGAATCCCATTTAGCTGCTGAATGGAATGCACATTTTCTTTCAATCCTATGATTCTTTTAAATGTTTGGATATGAGAATTCTGTGAATAGCATTGCAGAGGTAGCGAGAATATTGAAATAAAATGTTTTTTGAATAAGGAAAAATTTTCATTAGTGCATGTACAATATTTTACAGGAATAAGGAAAACTCTTTCATAGATATTTAAGACCGCATGTAGTAGAGTAAAAAAAGAAAACATATGTAAAAAATTAAAATTTTATTTAAAACAAAACCACCCTTAAGCATATTATGTATTGTTGCGTCGCTTTTATTGAAAACCACTAAAAAACTGTCTTTCTTGATTGTAGGATTGACAAAATTAAAAGTATTCATCCAACTCCCTCTGAAAATATACCATAAATTATTTGAAATACAAAATTGAATAAAACTTACCTTTTTTGATTCTTCTTTTCCACACTCTACCAAATCGAAGGCTCTTTCGCAAAGGTCTTCAGTTTTAACTAAAAATAAAAAGAATACCAATATAAGGTATATGGATTCATTTTGGTCTTTTATATAGGGCAAATTCAGGTACTAAATCGTAACTTACCTTGTTCTTGGCACACTTCATAAGCCTCTTGTATCTTATTATAAATATCCTCATCTTCTGCTTTGACTTTATTCAACCATTCAACATTGCCTTCACCATAAGTTCCATCTGGATGCATCTATATTAAATTCAAATAACAAACTTGTTCGAAACTAAAAAAAAAAATACTTCCTTACAATGTCAAATTTCTCAAAAACACAACGCATGACGCATTTTCCAGCATGAGTTTTTGGTGGTTGTTTGTTCATGAAAGCTTCAATGTCAGCTGAAAGAGTTTTTTGTTGTATATTTTCTCAATTATTTACTCTAGAAAATAATTACCATCAGTTGGCTTTTCTGTTTCAACGCATTGCAAACCATATTCTTGAATTTTCGATTTGGCTTGATCTAATAAACCTTGGCTTATCTTGAAAAATATATACATATTTGCAAATAAATTCTAATTGAAATGATATATCTACTTACTGATGCATTAGTATAAACAAAAACGCAAACAAAAATAATTAAGAAATTCATTTTTGGTGCAAGTTATATGATGCACTTGTGATTTTTTAATTAAAACTGACTACTTACTTAATTGAAATTAAGATATTTATATAAAAATGCGCAATTGACTAATTCGATAGACATCCTTTAGATCGAGTGAGATTACCTGTGAAATTATACGTTTTTGGTTAATTCTTACCCATAATTTTAACGAGTTATTTGATTTTAATGATAAGTATCTGGCTGCACGGTATTTCATCACATCAAGGCCATTAAAGTACATGTAAGCTTCGCGGAAACGTGGTGGATAATCAATTTTTAGGATTTTTTTAATTATTGGGACAAAAGGAAACAACAGTTATACATTTTTCAAACATTTTATTTGGTTATAGATGAACTAAGTTTCCTAAAATAGCCCATAGGTAAAAAACTCTGGTCTCTAAAAGAAGAGTTTGTCGATATCGAGCTGAAAATGAATGGATTTAGAATTCAAAATGTGTTCCTTTAAGAGCCAGTTTCTTCTTCAACAGTTGAAATTGACAAGAATATAATATAAATGATCAAATAGCAACTGCTGTTTATGAAGAAATTAGCCCTTTTTCAAAAATATTTACCTTTTGTGCTTCATACTTGGTACATGAAAACAGTTCTAAAGACGCATCACAACCATCTTTCGATTTTTCAACTGTAAATATTAAGTACTTGGTCAGTAAAACTTCATAATACAGTTCATTTTTGATTATTGGAATTACTTAATGAATTTTTTTAACAGCACTAGTGATGTAATAATTATAATAGAGACTTAATTTATATTATAAATATAATAAAATTAGAGTTTTCAAGAGTTCCAAATTAAAAAACGCCTAAGAACTTTTGAAACTGGCTAAGTCTTCAGAGTGGTAATAATTTTTGATTTTTGAGACTTCTAAATCTTTGATATTATTCAGAAACTTTGGTCTTAGGTCTTATACCAGACAAGTATTTAAAGTCTTCATTTCAATTTTTTTTTAAATTACTTTTTAGAGTTTTTAGTTACGTAATAAGCTTTAAGACCCTTCAAAATCTGCCAGAGTTTTCCGAGTCTTCAAAGGTCTATCCAGACCAATAATATCCTTGAAGTCTTTAGATTTTTGGGTGGCTTTAGAATCTTCAAAAGGGTCGACTATGTCTTTTTTCTGTTTCGAGAGCCATAAGAATCTACAGAGTCTCGATTTTCGAATCTTCTAAGTTTTAAATCATAAGCCTTGAGGATGCTCCAAACTCTTCAATATCTTCGGATAATTCGAAAAACTTGAAAGTCTTTCAACTTTCTAGCATCTTTAGAATGTTACTTATATCTTGCATGAACAGCCTTTATTTGATGACAAATATATTCAGTTTTTAAAGGCTTTACATCGAAACCCTTAAAATCCTCGAAGATCTTCCACTGATTTTAGCCTTTAAACTGAAACCTATGGAATCTTTAAAGATCTTCCACTGATTCTTAAATCTTTCATTTTGTTTGACATCAGCAAAGTCTTTGGAAATTTCATCTTGAAAAATGAGTCATTAGAGTATCTGAAGTATCTATAGTTGTAACTTGAAAGTATTTAAATAGAAATCACTTCAGTCTTCAAGATCTTTGGAGTCTTCAAAGGCTTTAAATCAAAAGCTTTGGAATCTTTTGACTTCCCTAGAATCTTCAAAGGCTACGATCTTAAGTCAGCATTTTAGAATCTTAGAAAACAACTCCAAAATTTTCAGTCTCAAGTATCTCTAGTTTTAAGTCATTGGGCTCTCGCCTCTCGAAATGTTCCAAGATCTTCAGAGTCCTAATTCACAAGCCATGAGACTCTCCCAAGTCTTGATAATCTTCAAATGCTCCTAATCGGGAGTCCTCTGTGATAGGTCAGCAGAACCTGGCTGAAGTTTGCTACATATTCGTATTAAGATTCGTGTATATTACATTAGACCAGATAATTATTGGAAAGAAAATTGAAAAAACGTGAAATTCATTCAAATAAAATTATTATGTAGGGAATTTCTGGGATTCGGAAAAGGTAGAAATAACAAATAACCCTTAGGCCCATTCGAGAATAGTTTTTGCAGTCAAGTTAGGTCTGGGATGGTCACTACGGGGGAAAATCGATAATTTGTTAGAAAATTCGTGAAAAATTATTGATGCTTTGTAGGGATTTTTTGAAGTTTGAGGATGATAAAGTTGAATATAAATTTGAAGCTATATTTAGCCACATATCAGTAGAAGAGTATTAAAAGTATCAATTCCAAAATCTAGAAAAACGAGTCTTGGGACTCCAAAATGTTCAAAGTCTACTCAGTGTTATGTCTGTGGAGTCTTAAATCTTAATTCCGGAGACTGAGAAATTTCGAGGTTTACAACAGGAGTAGAGGAATAAGAGACTGTGAGCTCTATCTATTAACTCTGAGCGGCAAACCATTTGGATAGTGGTGATTTTCAGTCAAGGAATAGTAAGGGGAGGAAATTTGTAGAAATCCAGGAAGGAGCAGCACTTACCAGAAATATACCTGACCAGGAAACCGAAATATTATACTCAACTTTATAAAACATATTGGAAACAAATCAAAATTCAACAAAATGTTCAAAGCCTATTCACAATCTGTAGTCCGCAGGTACAGGTAAATTTATCACCTTTCCCTATTAGATAGTATTAAAGAAAGGTGATACATTTTACCTGTACCTTTGGATTACAGATTGTGAATAGATAATATTCAGTGTTATGTTGGTGGAGTCTTAAGTCCCAATTCCTAAGAAATTTCGAGGTTACAACAGAAATAGAGGAAGAGATTGCATGTAAGCTCAATCCATTGAATCTGAGCGGGAAACCATGTGAATAGTGGTGATTTCCAGTCAAGGAATAATAATAGTAAGGGAATTATTGAAGTTTGAAGTAAATGCGAGGTAATATTTTTATTACAGGAAGTTTCCATGTGAACTTTTGGAGATGGGTGATTGCCTGTAACAAATTTGAGGTGATTTTCACTATTTGCCCAAAAGAAACTGAAATTGATGCATAGGTGAAAGATTTTACAGAGAGATGATAGATACATATACAGAGTGTCCGTTCTTCGAGGCCAATACCATTGGGAATTGCACAACTTATCTCCAATTTAACCGAACCTGTATCTGTTACTGTTTTCTATATCCCTCGAAATAGGGACACCCTGTACAGGTACATTATGTATGAGAAAATTTTCCTCCTTTTTCGATCTGCATACTCAAGATTTTAAAAGAAACATTTCTTTTGAGATAATCTTACCTCTATCCTTACACAAATCGTGCAATTGGCTGAGTTTATTGTAAACCTCTGCATCGTCGGCTTTGATCTTTTCTATAATCTCCGATTGCGGTATGTCTGCAAGCTGACCATCTTCTGTCATCTGGAAAAAGTTTAAAGTGTTTCCTGCAAAAATATAAATGAAGTTTCCATGCTTACAAGGCCTAATTTCTTGCTGACGCAAAATAGGACACATCTTCCTGCACGTGTCGGTGGAGCGCTGTGTTTCATTAAAGCACTGACATCCTCTAGAAATTTTCCAGATTACATACCTATCCTACAGAATTCTAATGTCCTACAGATCCAAAGTAGACCTACTTTACTTGATCAGAAAAGTTGAAGTGTATGGAAATAATTTTAGGAAAATTATTATTCATTAAAGTACCTGGAGTTGGTTTTTCTGAATCGATACACGCCACTCCATATTCGCCAATTTTTGCTTTAGTTTCGTCAATTATGGCTTTGTCCAACTACAAATTACTAGGACATAAATTGTGACAAATAAAAGTGCGACTTACCCCATAAGCAAAACTAGCAAATAAGGCCAATATTAAAATAAAATGCTTCATCGTAGGTATGCAAACAAGTTCATCAATACAATCAATTATTTACCAAACATCCCATTGATTTTATATAGGAATTTTCAAATAATAGCCCGAAGGCCGCTAATTAACCATTTTTTCCAGCTAATTCAAATCCAAATTACGGTAGATTGTTAGTGATTAAAAATCAAATTATTAAGGTGCGTTTTGGGACATCTTCTAATACATAAATATTTTCCGGAAATGTAATTGATTATCAAGTTTATAAAGGTATGAGACAGGGGAGGAGTTGTTTGATGTTACATAAGTCAAATCGGTTAAAAAATTGATGCAGTTAAGTACGTCCCTGATAATTAACAAAAAAAGTTGCTGACAAAGTAAAACGTGCGGAAGTGTTGTATATCGGGAATTGATAATTAGCGCACAGTGGAAATTAAGCTTTCCTTCGAACTTTGAAATACATTTTTTTATTTTGGTAAATCCAGCTTTTGTATAATTTTTTAATTGAAACTTGAGGTATAAAAACGAGATTTTTTCTATGCTACAACGTCACTGTTCTCAAATAATTATTGTAATTTATGGCATTGTTAATTATTTTCCTGTTTTCGAATCTAATTTTCTAATTGGCTCGAGTGAATTTCGATACGAGTACGAGACAATGAGCTATTGTTGTGGGGAAAAAACACTCTCGGGTTAGATGGGTATAATGAATCCATCTCAATGCATATTCTAGGCCTTTATTTGTCAGTAATGCCATGCATAAAACTGATATGGTACTTAAAAAACTGTGTCTATTTTTAGTTTTCCTACCCCATCAAATTCCTCTCGGCAAACTGTTGGGGATGGAAAGGCTAAGAATTTCGTAGAGTTAGACTAGGATGTTTTTATCATGTCAATATGTGAAATAGGTATTGTTTATAAACTTTGTAATATTTATATTATATTAATGAATAGCTAAAATTATTACATTCATTATTACATGATATAATTGATAAACGTCTTGACACAAAAATTGGAATTTTGTAATTTCGATAGCTGTAGATTTTATTGTGGTTGACTCACTGGTATTTGTTGAGTTGGAGTGACGACATTCTGCTGGTTTTTTGCCGCTACCTCTTCAATTGAATTGATTCTGGACTTCTTTGTATAAGTCTTGGGTGAAGTACTTATCTTGAGTAACTATATCCATATACGGCGATTTCTTCGTACAGGTTTTGGATTGTATCCCATTGTTTCTTGCTTGATTCCATCGAATGTTTATACCGGAATTCTGATTTGTCTAACATCAGTTCCGACTTAATTTGGGTAAGGGTGTCTTCCAATTGCTGTCTTTCCATATGAACAGATAAAAATCACTTACTATAGGCAAAAATCTAAGGAAATACCTTGTGGCAAAACGCCACAAGTACTCTATTTAATTAGTTAGATGGTAAAGGGTGAGCGGTATATTGATGGTGTTTATTTCCTTGGAGCTGCTACCTATAAAATTGTGGAGGGGTCTATTCGCAAAAGAGAAAAACAAACTATTAAGGTTTATTAAATTATATTTTATTATACTTAAAAATTTAAATAAGCAAAATATCTTTCTATTCTGACAGCCACTTCTATTTTTCCCAATTCAAATTATTTCACATCCATTCAAATTTCATTATTACGGACCAGGAAATATCCATACAAAAAGAAATGCCCTACTTCTACTATTCTTATTAACTTATAAGTTTATCCATTACAACACTTCCTATTCACATTCCTATTAATTTAAATTACCCTTCACCTATATCTATAAATTCTTAAAAATTCCTAAGTCCTTTACTGACTGCTTATGCAAACTAATTATTTTAGTTATAATCGGTCTCACTTTATTTTTATAAAAATCTTACAATAATTTCTACATAAAACAAAACCTAATTTCAAAATTTCAGCACTTAAGATTATCAATGTTTCTTCATATACCTACAACAAATTTCAAAAAAAAAACCTTCTAATACTTTTAATGATTATCGACAGCAATTTTATTTATTTCATGAAGAACAACAAGTTACTTTTCGAAACTTCCATTTTATTTAATGGTTTATTTAATCAGAACAATTACTGTTTTCGGATTCCTAGCCAATAAACACAATTATTTAATCAATAACTCCTACTCAAAATCGTATATTTTCAGGAGCATTATAATTTTCCCCTTTGTTAATTATTTGCAAAATTAAATTAAAATGTCATTATACTCGAAAGCAATTAAAGTTATGCAATACACTTTTTCCAGTCAAAATCACTCAAGTTTTTATGCATTAAAAGTCATTGTCAATTCACTTCTTATCATTCAGAATCATTGTTAAAAGTCAGAAAAACAATGATAATCACTAAAGTACTTACATTTAAATTGTCACTCGATGAAATATTTAATTTAATTTACTTCAAAAATCTATAGAGCACGCACATAATGTTGAATGACTTTAAATGTTATTTTTTTTTCACAATTTTCCGTACGCGTTTTCCGAGGCAACTTCGCAAATTTTACCCGAACTGACACATTAGGTACTGTAGACTTTAACTCAAACTGGACTAAACTTAAACTCAACTAACAACTGATTTCCACTTCTAAAACCGCCTGTTTTATATTTTTTCGATTCCTCCCCAAAGTATTATGAATTATTCACCAAAATCGACAATAGGCGGTCGTTTGACCATCAATAAGTCAATTCTATTGTTCGACCTAGATATTATCAAAAGATGATGATGCGATCTATTTGAAATTTTTATTTGTTTAAAATCGGATAATTATGTCGCAATTTCCTGGTTTATAGGGGTCAACAAATTTTGGTTCAAGAATGTGAGGACAACACAAAGAAGACCGACACACACGTGAGTGTGAGCCATAAATCACCGATTTAATTACTTTGGCCTCGCTTTTAATAAGTTCATTAATTTGATTTTAGGAGATGACATCACGCTTAGTGACTAAATAATAGAATTTTAACGTATATAAATATTTTAATTTAATTTGGGGTCAACGCTAATTTGTTTCATTTTCAATTTATCGATACTGATTTGAAATACCGGAAATTCAGTTTTTGATTATTTGATTACATTTAATTTTTACAGTAAAGGCATTGTTAATATCGGGACTATTTTGCCGGATCATTACAACCTATACTTTTCCTTAAAACTATTAAATAAATAAAAACTTGTTCGTTGTTGTGAAGTTCGATTTTTTTTTTTAACTCTAAATTGTCAAACTCCAAGGATTTTTTTTCTGTTGCCACCTCGTCAGCACTTGTAAAGAGGATTACCTCAATTTTCTGGTTCGTTCTTTACTTTATGTTCTTCTTTCGTCCAGTTGGTATCAGTCGTGCTCGGAAAACGCACGGGGCTGCGTATATCTGCATTAATTAAAAGGTGTATTGTTCAACAATTATTATTATTGTCAATGGTAAGCTTAATGATTTTCTCCCATTGATTTACTTTTTAATTATGTTTTTTTTTTTAAGGGAAATTATAATCGGCAATGTAAAGGATGAACAATTTTACATTATCAATGGAATTTTTTTTATTATTCATATTGGTTTATCACAAAGGCAAAGGAGAGACTATTTCGTAAGTTTGAGTTAAGTTAAAATATGCATGCCTTAATAAAATCATTAGATTACGCTATTCCATCAAGAATCTGAGTGTTGTTAAGAAATCGGAATTTCTTTTTCTCTTTTTTACATTTTATATATTCTCATGGTTTCCTTCTGTTATAATTTTGTCACTTTATCTTTTATGTGTTTTTTATAGGTAGGTACCTAACGTTTCATTTATCTTATCTAGGTATTCTAAGATTGTATTTCTGTTTTTAAATAGTTTCCCAAGCAAAATTTTTCCCCATTATTATTGTTCTGTAATCATTGCTGTCTACTCCCACTTGTAAATTTATGAGAAAGGCTTTGTTTCTCTTGTAGAGTTATCGTTCGGACATATTTTTCATCATTATTCTTCTTTAGTTATTGAAAGTAGCCATTTGTTAATAATTTTCCTTCTGTCCACGTATTTTATTTTCTCTTCTATAGCAACCGCGCCAAGTACTCCATTATTTAAGTTAGATAGTAAATTTCGAGCGATCGTATCTGATAGTAATTATTTCCTTGGGCAGCTACTGTAAAATAAAATTGTAAGGGCGAGTCTATTTGCAAGTGAGAGAAACAACTGTAGTTGGGTTATACTTTATTCGAGAAAATAAACAGAGCTTTACCAAAGTACAATTTTATACCCTATACCAACACGTTTCACCTAATTTCAACTAATTGATCGCGACTGCTTGATTACTGTAGACTCAGGACTCAGGACTCAAAGCTGATCTGAACTGAAAACTGATAATTTCTAAATAAAACCGTTGTTTTTATATTTTTTTGATCTCCCCCCAAAAAATTCCGGGTCATGTCCATTCATTAACCGTTCGTCTATTCTAGGAAATATAATTATTTGTTTAAAACCGAATACCTATGCCGCAATTTCCTCGATTATCGGGGTCAACAGATTTAGTATATAAGAATGTGAGGACAAACAAATCAAAGGATGCCGAACTCATGTCGGCCGTAAATAATGTTTTTATTATAATTCTGTCACTTTGGGACCCAATTTAATTACTTTTGCCTTGATTTTAATATTCTTATGGATTTGATTTGAGTTCAATGTGATGACACACGCTTGGTGACATTTTATTGTATTACAAATCAAATAGAATTTGTTACTTTCAGAAAAGATAACCTAGAGTCGTGAATTCAAAAAAAATATTAAGATAACGTATAGCCCCTTTGTGTGCAAATGAAACCACTCAAAATCCAACAAACAATAATTTTATTTAGTGTACAATGTTCTATGTAAAATTTTACAGTTGACAGCTTGGTTATTCTGGTGAATCTGACACCATATACCTTTTCAATCTGGAGCTTTTCAATGGGTGTTGGGGTTTCACTTTCGTGAACTGGAGCTCTTGGTGTTGTTTCCTGTATTCAGGAAGAGGATAGATTGCTGGGGTGACGTCACTCCAACTGATCCAGACTCCAAACAGTGATCTTTATGTAGAATAGGTACCCAGAAAAGAATAAGGCAGTATCAGGTTCACCAATATTTGGAACATTAAATTCCTGAATTCTGTCAAAAAGTGAGTGTCTTGCACAGGAAATTGAAATTGAAATTTAGTACAAAATGATTGTTATACAGACACTCCTTTCAACAGAATCAGGTATAAAAACTATTGCAAGTAGAAAAATTAATATTTTAACATAAAAAAAAAATAATAATTAAGAATAAGATAAGATAATGATAATAGTAAAATTAAATAATAACAAGATTCAATTATAATGATTATAATGCTCGTTATAATTGAGCAAAATGCTGCTTCCTTGAAAAACAGTTCTGGCAGGCAAAAAAATACGAGCAAAAATATGAGCAAAAATAAGGTAAGTAAAAAAAAATAAGAACTTAAATCTCTGGATTCCTCCCCAAGTAGACAAAATTCTCTCCTCGAATTAAGGTAGCTACCACAGATACTAGATAAACCTGGGGTTTAAATTAATCAAATCCAGAATGTGTCAAAATTCTTGAGATGTTTTAATTAAAACTTTCTAACTGAATTTTTTGACCTGTCTGGATTTCTATTAAAAAATTACACCCTTTTAGTTAAGATAATAATAATTAGGAAGTCAAACAGAAAATGGTTGTTCAGGCCTCTGCCTGGATTCAATAAAGAATTAATGGGAATGGACTCACAAATTTGGTTCTCACCGACTCTATTTAGAGCAAATGGTCCAATTTTCCCACACTAAAAATTGATTCTGAAAGCCAGAGCAGCAGTACCTATCTAAAACCTAAAAATCTGTCTTGACTTATCTCTTAAAAACTAGCACTAAACAGTAAGCAATTCTCACAAAATGGAAGCCAACAATTAGATAAAAAAAACTTAAAATATAATATTTATATTTCAAAGACAGATAAGATAAGATTTATCAGGTAAAAACTAATAAAGATATGACAATTTGAATATTGAAATATTTATAAGGGAGGATCCAGAAATTCAAAGCACAAAATTATTTTAAAAAGAGCTCGTTTTAGAAAACCAAGCTAGCAGGAAAACGATCCTGTGTTTTTTTATACTTACTGCATTCCAACCAGTTTTAACCAATCAGACGAGTACACCAGTGGCGTAGCCAGTAGGGGGGCAGGGGGCGCGACGGCCCCCCCCCCGCCCTTACACGTATGGCGCCCCTACCGCTCTTAAAAAACAAAAGCAAAAAGTAGGAAATTATAAAATTATGCTGTTTCTTATTTATTTTATTGACCTCTTCACCCTTTATTCTTTATCGTAAGTCGGCATTGTCGGCAAATGGTTAATGGTTCAGCTCAATCAAAGGAAAGCAGGGCCGAATTTAAGGGGGGAGCAGGCTGGGCAGCTGCCCGGGGTCCCCATAAAATAAGGGCCCTCACATTCTAGAAAAGGGCCAGGACTTTGATCACACATCTTATTATTAAGTTTCCTATGCCTATTTTCCACAGTTTACTCTGATTTTGTACAAATAACTGTTTTTTAGTTTATATTTTGTATAATTTTTAAATATGTACACATTATTTATAAAAGTAGGTTTTACTATACCGTTTTTTTTTTTTTTTCTGAATGGTAAGAGGCGGGGACCCCACATGAGTTCTGCCCAGGGACCTCCACAGTCCTAAATCCGGCCCTGAAGGAAAGGTGATTGTTTCTGTTTTGATGATTGATGTGGTTTTTGTTTATTAAACTATGGGTTGATGGGGTGGGTGGGGCTGTCATCCGTCCAGATTTCCCTGGATTTGTTCTAGTTTTCAAGACGTCCGGGAGGATTTTTTGAAGTTAACGGCTTGTCCATACATTATTTCTTGTAAGGCTTAAAGTACATAAATGTTTTTCGGCGTGGCACCGTCGCACCCGAAAAAAAAATGTTTCAAAAGACTATAAAATAAACTCTTTGGGCGTGGCACCCGAGGAAATTTTTCGCCTCCGGCGGATCCCGCGTCGGGGTTCTCGTCTTGAATATTTTTCCCCAAAAAGCAGATATTACAAAAGCATACAAATATTCATTTGTTATCCCCTCCCACCCTTCCCCAGGGCCGTAGCTAGAGTCAAATTTGTGATAAGGCATGACAAATTTGACATAGGGCATATACTACTTACCCCCCTCCCCCCCCTAAATTATAGGTAAATAAACTGGTGGTAATGGCGCCGAAGGCAAATTTTTCAATAAATAACAAACACATGGGAAGTAAACAAAATGGCGCTGATTAACGCGCCGCCTTGGACCATTCGCACCAAGGATAATACACACTAATAGTGAAATCCATTGCTAAGTTCAGTGCGCACTGAGAGTGTTCCTGTCCTTTTTTACTAGCATGTAAAAAAAAGTGACAGAAATACATGCTTTTTGCACTAATTTTACCAATGGTTTTTGTCATAAGTATTACTGTAGGATAGCTTATCCTCATAAGGCCTGTGTAGATCAAATCTCAAACCCCCCACCACGCCCAAGAACCAGTGATGACGTAGCCAGCGTGTCGTTTTTCTCTTGACGTAGGGTGTTTGCACCACAGGTTACGATTCCGCGGGCTTTTGCTTTATGCATACCTACTTGGTTTTAGTACATTAATTAACATTCTAAAACAACGCTTTTTTAGATCTTCTTCTTTGCCTATTATGTTAATCAAAATTAAATGACATTTTTCATTCAAAATGTATATTCTAAACTACGACCGCTGGCGTAAACAGCTGACGACGTAATTGATGATGTCAATGGTGCTACACCATATGGCCGGGATTTCCACAAACGAGGCCGATAAGCAATGCTGTGTAGTAGTGTGCATTATCGTATTATCCTTGCATTCGTACTCTTTTGAAACCAAAAACTTCCTCTGTGTAAAAGTCGAACGTCAAACATTATTGGATACATTTAGGAGTTTTCAGAAACACTTATCCAGTGTCAAAGTACTAAATCGGGAGAAACTAACGTTGAAAATCGGTAGATTACTGCGCAAAATCGGTAGATATGACACAAGGATAATACACACCACTAAGGATGGCTTATCGGCCTCGTTTTCGGTAACCGCGAGCATATTGATGTATCACCATTGCCGACGTCATTAACTAAATCGTCAGCTGTTTGCGCCAGCGGTCCTAGTTTAAAATTTAAATTTATGATGAAAAATATAATTTAATTTTGATTAACATAATAGGCAAAGAGGAAGATGCAAACGAGATCTTAACAGGAGTTGTTAATGTTAATTATTAATGTATAGTAAGACCAAGTATGCATAAAGCAAAAGACCGCGGAATCATAACCTGTGATGTAAACAGGCTACGTCAACTGTCAAGGCGAGAAACGACATGCTGCCACGTCACAACTGGTGATTTAGCGTAGTGGGGGGCTTCAGATTTGTTCTACTCAGGTCAGGTGTTATGAGGATAGGCTATCCTGTAGTAGTAGTGTGTATTATCCTTGGGTATAACCAGTGGGTATAACATAAAGACTAAAATTCAGCCATGTTTTGCTTTCAGTTTTTTATTTCGTTGTTGAGTATGTAAAAGCCCAGTGATTGTTTCCGTGGAAGTGGAAAGTCTATTTATTTGTGCTGTTTTCACTCGATTTATTGCTGAGAATGTGCGCTCAACATTGGCGGAAGAATGGGGCAATGACAAGATATTAAAAACAAAATCACAGGACCCACGGGTATTCCCCCAAAGAAATGCACTGATACCACCATTGCTAACAAATTTGTTGTCGGAGGATCTATTTGACATCTGACAGTTCTGACACAGACAAACAATTCGATAGTAGATCGTGTGCGGTTATCGATAGAAAAATCAGCGAAAACAAAGCCGATAAATTAATATTTTTGGCGAAAAACGGTAAAAAAAATCGATAGAATCGTAATTATTGTCGAAAATCGGTAAAAATTCATCAGTATTCGGTTGTCATTTCGGTAGCTTCGACAACACTGCTTATCCTCGCGTGCGTATGATATTATCTCGCACTTACTCGATTTCAGGCCTATTCAATCTACTCTTAAATTTCCCAGAAAAACCTCAACGCATGTTGTGTATTAGAGGTAGGGCATGATCATTTGAAAGATAGGGCATTGCCCCCCAATGGCCCCCCCTGGCTACGGCCCTGTCCTTCCCCCCCCCCCCAAAAGAATTATGCGCCCCTTATATGTTTGCCCCCTCCGCCCCGCAAGGCTGGCTACGCCACTGGAATACACCCAGAAGACCATATTCACTTCAAAATGAAAACACAATAAAAGACCGCATGGAATAAAACAGAATGGATAAAAATCCACTAAAACTATTTTAATTGTTTACAAATTATAATAATTTAAATTAAGGTTATGTCATAAATAAAAGACTGTTAATTAATTAGATCATTAAGCCAAAAAATGATTATTTCAGAATCAGAAGTTAGAAAAGGACAGAAATATATCCATTTGCTAAAAGTGAGATAAATATAATTTCTTTCAATAAAAATATAAATAACTGTCAAATGCGAATTTTAAAAATCATACTTTGAAATATAGATCATCGGGCACTAGATGGCAGTACTGAAAAATCAATTTTCGATACTTGCATTTTACGCAAATGTGGATAGATGGCAGCACTTGTATTATTTGAATTTTGTGGATGTTATTTGGCTGATTCTAAAATGAAAAAAATACGACTTTATAATGAAAATAAGAAGAGATGGAACATGTTACGTAAATGATAAATTTATCGTAACAATTGATACTGATGTGAAATATAGGAGATTCAATTTCGGATTTTTTGATCACATTTGATTTTTCCCGCGTCATTACACTTCCTTTATTATAAAGTGTCCATTTTCCAGCTTCCGTGCCATGTTTGCACTGTATCCTTAATACACAATGCCTACAAAGTGATTTTATAAACTCATCCCCCTAAATTCTTAAATAGGTAGGGTATTTTTCCTTAAATTTTTTTAATTCTTTTCCATTTAAAATCGTCAGCAGTGACCTACTTCCACGTTTCTAGCCTATTAACGCTTTAATAAGCAGTTTCGCTCGAAATATTGTAATCAACCCTCCTAAACTGTCTTTCAAAAGCGGCTTTCTAAAAAAGAGAAAAGAAGAGGATAAACTGCTGACCTTGATTTTTCCCACTCGAGCAGCCAGCAATGGGCTTTTATCGTGTCAAGTACTCCCGCTTCAATGGTAGTGATGCAAGGAAAATCCCTTTTTTTCAATCGTCTATGTAGACTTTTCTTTTTTAGAAAAGAACTGCTTAATTATAGAAGCTTTTTACTTTTTTTTTTTTATTTAATTAATGAGAAATTAATTTTAGTTTTTTGCATGTTTCAGCTTATGCCCGATAGAATTTTATCACGAGCAATTTTCTGATCATAAGGTGGAGCATGAGAACGACGAACCCGCGTAGGTATAGCATGAAATCAAAACATAAAATTTAGTTTTCAATAAGATTTCAAATATACAGGGTAACAATTTAAAAACGAATTTTTGAACTCAAAAAAAAAAATCATCCCCCTAGCGTTTTTAGGGAGATAAATTTTGTTTCTTTGTGTATTTATCAATACATCATATTCATGATACATTTTCATCAATTTTCCAAATTTTAAATTTGTTCCATTAATTTCTTCTCAAATGCCCTTAACAAATATTGCAATACCTACAATTAAATGTACTTCCTGGGATCTAATTCAGTTTTCAATAACTCATTGTAAATATGGTTTTGAAACAAATACTCTCATCCTTAATTTTCAAATATAATTTTGTTTGAAATAATGATACACCTAATCCTAGTATTGCATTTAAATTCCATTCCTTTTTCCTTCTTGACATTTTCTTGGATTTATTAATTTACCTATAGGAACTTCTTTGAGGCAGCTCTCAGTACTTTTTGTTTCAAACGTTATTAGCCCATCATAGTCCGTTTTTAAAGTGGTCACCTTATAGAAGCCATCTATATCATATAAAAGTACCTAATTATTGTTATTTTTTTTTCCAGTACCGGACTAACGATACGAGACATATTACCAGAAGACCCAAGTAAATATGACAAAATGAGGCCACCAAAAAAAGACGGAAACCCCACAAAAGTATTTTTTCATGTCACCGTTATGGGTTTAGACAGCATTGACGAAAACTCTATGGTAAACATCCATAATCCATTATAACTTATAATAAAAATTAGTAAATTCCTAGACCTATGCTGCCGATATCTTCTTCGCGCAAACCTGGAAAGACCATCGGCTGAGGCTTCCGGAAAATATGACGGCCGAATACCGATTGCTCGAAGTCGATTGGTTGAAAAACATGTGGAGACCGGACTCGTTTTTTAAGAATGCGAAAAGTGTTACTTTTCAAACTATGACCATACCCAACCATTACATGTGGCTGTATAAGGACAAAACCATATTGTATATGGTCAAGTATGTTTTATCCTAAACTTACTTTTTTTTTTTGTTCTTCCAAGCTAGAAATTGCAAATAATATAAATCACCCCTCTGTATATATTTGCCCAAAAATAACTTGAATCTCTATGTTTAGGTTAACATTGAGACTATCATGCGCAATGAACTTTATGATATACCCGCACGATACTCAAGAGTGTAAACTTCAAATGGAAAGCTGTAAGTATTTTATAAAAACTCTCATAGCCTCAAACAATTTACTGTTTCAGTATCCCATACAACAGACGATATGGTTTTTCAATGGGATCCAGATGTACCATTGGTAGTGGACGAAAACATCGAGCTGCCTCAGTTAGCTTTAGTTAAAAACCATACAGCTGATTGTACTCAAGTGTACTCAACTGGTAAGTAAATCTATGTAAATATTATGTCAATTTATAATGAAATATTTCCAGGTAACTTCACTTGCTTGGAAGTCGTTTTCCAACTGAAAAGACGCTTGGGCTACTATCTATTTCATACATATATACCGACATGTTTGATAGTAATTATGTCTGTAAGTTATTCCATTGAATTATTTATTCGACAATTTTTAATTAAACTTTTTTCAGTGGGTCTCTTTTTGGATTAAACCTGAAGCAGCTCCTGCTCGCGTAACTTTAGGAGTTACTTCCCTGCTGACATTATCGACTCAACATGCTAAAAGTCAAGCTGCTTTACCTCCAGTTTCATATTTGAAAGCCGTCGATGCTTTTATGTCTGCATGTACAATGTACGTATTGATTTTTGATAGAGTATATATTTCTTTATTATATCGTGGTATAATTGTGGTTGTACCGGGGGTCAAGTTATAAAGTACCACCACATGTAACTTTTTTGTGTACGGTCAAAAATTAAAAAATTACAGGGGGTGGTACTTTATAACTTGACACCCTGTACTAGCCAAAGTGACATTATTCGGAAAATAAGTAGAGTGTGAAAAGGCAAGGTTGTTTGGTGAAAAGGTATATCAGATCTAATTTAGAAAAATTGTTATAACTAAGCATTTGATTATCTTACAGTTAACATTTCACCCAAGTAATAACCCTTGATAATTATATTATACAATTTGTTATTGTATCTTAAAAATCCAGCTCATGTTATTTATTGCTTCGCTACACACACACATGCTTCGAATATAATTCTTTCCAGCAACGGTATCAGTTACCTGACATCTGGGTTCGTCATAAAACGTGGCTATTCAGAAGATTATCCTTGACTTTAATAAATTATTACAACCACATGGTATCTGGTTCAGTTGACAGATTAGTTTAAAGTTTAGTGTTTATCTAATCTAATCCCAAGATGAGCTTGAACCGAGAATATGAATTTGCTATTGATTTTGTTAACATAAATTGCTAATAAAATGTGTTTATTTATTCCAGATTCGTCTTTATGGCTTTAATGGAATATTGCCTAGTAAATATAGTGCTCGGAGATTCCGACTTGCCGAAACCGCCTCCGGAAAAACGAAAATCAACGTCAATATTTGATATGCCGCCGGCTCCGCCTCAAAAAGCCGAAAATACGATATTGTTGCCTTCGATTCCCACAGCGCCCACGGCACCCATCATAACGCTGGCTCAGAAGCAAAGAAATCGAGCTCTGAATATTGATAGGTTTTCCAGGGCATTTTTTCCGTTTATTTTCACCGTTTTAAATTGTACTTATTGGATTGTTTTTGCTGAATATATTTAATTATTAGACTAGAAGAAAACATAAGAAATGCTGCAGTTATTATAATTTATTGTCAATTGATTCAAATATTAAGAAATTGAGCTTTTAGATTTTTTTTTGTTTTTGAATTGTACTTATTGAACTATTTTTGCTAATATATTTTATTTAGAGTATAGAGAAACCTCAAAAAGATAATTAAGTCTATTGAAAACGAAGAGATCATTGTTGTTGAAAACTTCCAAATTTTGCTACAATAATAAAAACTTTGAAAAATTAGTGGGATATCTAGGAAAAAAATCTTGATTAATATTAAAGCTTGTTATGAATAGAGAATTAATTCGAAAATAAATTAAAGTGATCAGCTATGTAAGGAAATCTTAATTTTACCTTAAAAAAGATCCTAAAAATTTCAAAATTTTATTTGTAGTAGTTTTTGATGAGAGGAAAACTTTAATTTCGATTGGTCAAATTTTTCTTAAAAATCATCTCCATTTGTAATGTAATCATTCAGAACTCTCTTGTTTGAAGCTCAAATAATTTAATTGTGGAGGGGGTCTATTCGCAAATGAGAGAAACAACTGTTAAACTGCTTTCATTCCTTTCATAGCTGACTTTTTCACATAATGCCTGCCAAACTGAATTTTTAGACTGTCCTTCAGCAGAGTCCAGTTTGTGGTGGTTTTAAGGGTTGGCTCTGCTTCTCCTACTGTTTGGCTCGATATCTCAATTTCAATCCGACTACTGAAATCTTCTGCGTGTCTGTCCAGTCAGCTAAAATTTTCTTCTAGAACATTCAAAAATTTTTAGGCACTGGTAGTTCCGTCATAGTTAGGTATCTAATCCTATAAAAAGGTTTGGCATGGTTGTGTAAGTTTGCGGTAATGAGTTCGGAGGATTGGACATCTTTTACGTTGCTCGGTTGTTCTCAACTTAATTTTAACCAATGAATAAATTATAGGGGCTTTTAGTTTACAAAATATTTAAGCCTACCGATGCTCTCTAATACAATTATAATAACTTCTCATTTGCTCTCAATGTACAAATAATTTACCCCCACTTGACACCAATGTTAGCCCAAGTACTTTTTTTAGTTAGATGGTAAATGGCGAGCGGTTTTATTGATGGAGTTTATTACATTACCTTGGGCAGCTACTAATAAAATTGTGGAAGGGGTCTATTCGCAAATGAGAGAAACAACTGTAAAACTGTTCCCTTTTTCACTTTTAAATCCCTGTAATAATGGTTCTCTGTTCGAGACCTTCACAGTTTTCCTTAAATTCTCTATAATAAATCCTTAAAATTTCAAATTTTTGCTCATAGTAGTTTTCGAGCGACAAATTTTCATTCAAATTGGTCAAATTTTTCTATAAAAAAATCATCTCTATTTGTAATCGTTCAGAACTCCCTTGTTTGAAGCTCAAATAACTTGATTTTTTGGTATACTTTCTCTTAAATCCTCTATGATAAATGCTCAATATTTTAAGTTTTTGCTTATAGTAGTTTTTGAGGCAAAAATAACAGTGCCGTAACTAGGGCGTGGCGAAGATGGCATTTGCCACGAGCGCAAGCTTCATCAGAAGGGCGCAATCTGCCACTAATCGTTAAACATAAAGCGCCTTTTGCGTAACACATCAAAACTTTAAAGAGCGTTTTCTGGATTTTATTCTTGATACAGCGAAATAGATATTGATTTATTGCAATTTCGAACTCCCAGAGATAAAAATCAAAATTGCATTCCAAGATTAAAAGAGTTTCTAAGTCCTAAAGCTGGACTTTCTTGATTCATTGCTTTATTCTGACTCTGGAAGGAATAGAAGTCAAAAAGAGCCTTTTCCACGAATTTCTAGCATCCAGAAACAAAGACATTGTGAAAATGCAGTTTCAAATTCACTATTAGGTTTGAATTTTGCTTCTCAGATCCCTGAGGACTGGAAGTTATTGCCATGAGAGAATTTTTTTAACATGTTGAAAAGTCAGAAGACCTTGTCAAGGCGATGTATGACTTGTTGAAAAGATTCTCAAGGCAATTTCCACCTCCCATAGATAAAAAGCAAAATTGCATTTCAAAGATTTAGAAGAGCTTCTAAGCCCTAAAGCTGGACTTTCTTGACTCATTGCTTTATTCTGACTCTGAAAGTTGCCTTTGGAAGGATTAGTGGCCAAGAAGAGCCTTTTCCAGGAATTTCTAGCATTCAGAAACAAAGACATTGAAAAAATGCAATTTTAAATTCACTATTAGGCTTGAGTTTTGCTTCTCAGATCCTTGAGAACTGGAAGTTCCCATGAGAGATCTTTTTTGACATGTTGAAAAGACAGAAAAGTTTGTCAAGGCATATATGTCTTGGAAAGAGCGCTTTTCGGATTTTATTCTTGACACAGCGAATTAGATATTGATTTATTGATATGGTACTAAAACAACCCAGAAGAAGATAGAAACCAAAAATGCGTGGTGAGGAAGGATATGACGAGGCCCATCTTTTCCAAAACTCATTTGGAAATTCAACTCTTGCAAGTCATTCAGGCAATTATAACACAGATGGAAGAAAGATTTTTTTGTTCTTAATACTGACCTCGATACTGACAACTTATTTCGGTTTTTCTTAGTAGTCGTGCTATCAAGGAAATTAATCTAAGGTTTAAAAAATGAATGAAAAGAAATTGGACCTTTACAAATGTTGCAAAGTATGTATGACTTTATTCTTGAAAATATTTATCTCAACATATGGACAGCTTTAACCTCGGCTTCAACAATATTTCTGAGCCTTCCCATTGACTACTCTGCTACACTCAACCAAATAGTAGCATAAATAAAAAGAAGTTGTTCTTTGATTTAATGAACAATTCATTAAAATCGGTCCAAAGAACTGCTTCTTAGATCACATGAACTCTACGTTATTGAAGGAAGAACAATTTCTTAATTCCTAGTTCGATTCATCTTGTGTATGAACAACGAACATTGAAGTATGTGGCAAGATTTTTGTATTAATGAAATTTTCCATAGTGACAATGAACATCGTTCTTAGTTTATATGTACTTTTTCATTGGCCTAATGAACAGACGGCATAATATTTATGAAGCCCAGATATAATTCGATGAAACCCTTTCATTGTATTTATGAATCAAAGTCTTGAATACTAAGAATTTCATTCATTTTATTTATTAATGCCGTTTTCAAAATATGTACCCTATTCTTTATTTTTATAAAATTATGCCTTAAATATACTTATGATTTTAAATGGGGTACAGGGTCATTTTTTATATTTGCGTGACTCCTGTACTGGTGAATATGAGCAATAGGAAAAAAGCTTCTAATGCAAAAGTTGTATGATTTCTTCGTATCATCTTCCAGAATTGTCAAACAAACCAATGGGCATCCCAAAATCTGAAAATTCAAAAATCTAAGTACTTATGTATTTTTATTTCAAATGACACTAACTGTATATTGTACTATCTTTGAAATCCTCCTTAAATCCTGTTTCCATAAATATATATTGCTATGTCTATGTTTGTTCCAGCTGTTTTTGAACTATCAACATCCAAAGTTTCTAAAACATGCCACGTCAGAAAATTAGATTTGATGTCTTGGCTGGTTTCCTTGCCTCAGCTATGAAACACTAGCTACGGCATTAAATCTTGTGCTTTTCTACCTAGTGAAACAAAACCATTTAACAAAAATATATCGATGAAAAAAATTACAACTTGATTTGAAATTGGGTATACTTACTTTTAGAGGCTTCAGTTTTCCTTAGAAATTCTGTGGAGCTCTTGACGCTCTTGTTTTTCACGTTCTCCCCGGATGACATTAAAATCTGTAGGTCATGTCTTTCGCATTCCCATTTTGAGCATCAAAGTCCTAACTACATAATAGGTATACATATTATGGAGGTAATAGAGGTATACAACTTACCTTTTAGAAAAAACCGGCGACACCTGTCGGTTATACCTATAACCGACTTTCTATTTAACACCTCAAACAACACAAGACCGAAAAAACTGACTGGAACGAAGTACGTAGCAATGCATCCAGAAAATAGAAATGTAATTATTCTTATTTTAATATATTTTTCTATGTCGTTGCCCGACTGCAGCTACCTTTGCGCATGTGCTTAGGAACTGTGTACATTAATGCCATGAACTGTTCATTGTATTTATGATTTATCTTGATCTAATGGTTACAGCTTTGTTTTTAGGAATATTTGCTTGTTTTAAATGAACCGTACATTGTATCAATGATTTTCTTTCTTAAAAGGATAAGTTTTAGTTGGGGAGCTGGCGTCAAAAACATGCAAGAGTTTTCGCAAGGCGGATATTTTCAAAATAGGTCGTACTTTAGTGTTAGAATGCTAGTGTATAGTCAGCACTCACAGTTCCGGGACAGCTGGCTCTGGGACGCGGGCAAAGTTGTAATTTTAAGAAGCATCCAAACTGTTTTCTCAAAGCTCAAAATTTATAGAAATTTTGCACATTATCTGTTTGAAGGTCACAGATAACGTATGTAAATGGTCAGACGTCTAGTTCGTTGCAAAAAGGGGGTCAGACGTCCTCAAAGTTTTTATTTTATGGCATTTTCTTCGGTGTCCTGTCAAAATATATTTTTGCAGGTATTTGACAAATATATTTGAAGAAAATGCCATAAAATAAAAACTTTGAGGACGTCGGACCCCCTTTTTGCAACGAACTAGACGTCTGACGATTTACATACGTTATCTGTGACATTCAAACAGATAATGTGCAAAATTTCTATAAATTTTGACCTTTGAGAAAACAGTTTAGATGCTTCTTAAAATTACAACTTTGCCCGCGTCCCAGAGCCAGCTGTCCCGGAACTGTGAGTGCTGACTGTACACTAGCATTCTAGCACTAAAGTACGACCTATTTTGAAAATATCCGCCTTGCGAAAACTCTTGCATGTTTTTGGCGCCACCTCCTGGACTATTTCTAGTAAGGCTATATGAACCATATTCATATTATTTATATTAATATTCATTTATATTATGAACATTCCGTGGAAGCTCCGTCAAAGAAATTTTCTTTAATATCAGGGTTTAATTTCATAATATCAATGAACTTAGTTCATGTAACCGATGCACTATTGAACATAGATTCATGTAGATGACTATTCATAACTTACTGAAGCATCATTCTTTATTCCAATGATAGCTGTTCATGAAATCATGATACCTACAGTTTTCTGTACTTGGGATTAATGAAAATTTCACTGAATCAATGAAAATGTAATTGATGAAAGCAGTTCATTGATATTATGATGAAGATTTTTTTGAGTGTACGTGTGAGCGTTTCTTTAGTAAGCTTGAGCTTATACAGGGTGTCCGGAATAACTTGAAGTACATAGGGCAATTTGAATTACAAAATAAATGCAAACTTTTTCCTTTTTTGCCCTGTAGGTATATATAAACTATATCTGTTGCTATTCCGAGTTCAAAGAAGTTGATGACAGGTTATTTGTAGGCACTTGATTGCGTAATTTTTTCTCATTTGGTCCACTTTGTATCTTCAATGGTTTCCAAAATCCCCATGTACCTCAAATTACTCTGGACACCCGGTATTGTCAATAATCCTCTTCTTTTGTGTTTCCTTAACCTGTTTTTCTGCTATTACATATAAAGTCCGTCGATTTTAATCTGATACTCGACAGGAATGTGAGCTGGTGGCATCGCAGTGGTGGCTGTCTATGGTGGCACCCTACATTAGAACGAGAACGTCAATGGTCACCTGACGTCACACCTGTTTTTGACATATACTTCACCCTCTCACTCCTCATACGGAAAAAGTTAGATAAAAATCGACGAACAATAGATACCTATGTTATGTTTTTTAGTGATACTTTAAATTTTGAGTTTCTGATGTTAATATATTTTTCCTACGAGCGTGCGCAAAGTAGTACTTTTCCGCACGCATTATCGTTCTCAAAGTTACACTTTTCCGCACTCAGTGCGGATACGGGCCTTATCCGCACTGAGTGCCGAAAAGTAAAAATAATTGTCAAGCACCTGTCGACTTTGACACATGATGACAAATTTTTCCTCTGTTTCTATAGGTATCAGCCAACATCTATACAAACACTGAATATAATAAGCTTTGACACATTGTCAGATTTGTGTTCTCAATTTACATGTAAGAATCTACAAACTTCTTTCGCATCAAATTTAAACGCTTTAAGATGAACAGCTCTGACGAGGATTTCAATTTCCTGTTTTTTTGTTATGTAATTTTTTGATAAATGAATAGTTTCGCTTCAGGTTAATTGAAAATAATTGAACAAATTATCGTTTTTTTTTTTAATTTTTGTTGTTACCTACCTGATATGAGGCTCGTAGGAAAAATTTTGTTCCTAACACGTGCGCAAAGTTTCTTTTCCGCACGCAAACACTCATCCGAACTCCGCTGCGCGTCGTTCGTATAACTGTGTTTGCGTGCGGAAAAGTAACACTTTGCGCACTTGTTAGGAAAATAACTATTTCCTACAGCCGTGCGGAAAAATCGATTTTCCGCACTGATATGCGTGCGGAAAATGAGTTTTCCCGCACGGTGCGGTAAAACTTTTTTTTTGACATATCAGTGAGGAAAAAGTTTTTCCGCACGGCTGTCAGTGCGGAAAAAATTTTACCGCACTGATATGTCAAAAAAATAAAGAAAAATTTTACATTTTTTCGCCTGTAGGAAAAATATTGTACCTAACACTTGCGGAAATAGCTATTTACCTAACAAGTGCGGAAAATGATTTGAATTTTTCCGCACTGATATGCCTGCGGTAAAAGTTTTTTTCCGCACTTGTTAGGTAAATATAGCTATTAATGTCAAATGAAACAGGAATTTTTATATCACTTATATCTACTTTTTTACATGGAATATGGGACGGGGGCGCAAATTAATAAGCTGTCACAGGCGCAAGCAGGTCTAGTTAGGGCTCTGAAAAACAGGGACGTAGCGAAGGCCACTGGTTTGGGGGGGGTGACATTCTTAATTTTCCCAACTTTATTGAAACATAAAAAATCACATGTAGCATCATACGTCGTACACGTGTTAAGAAGTGGAACTTCTTAATAGTATATTACATTACGAGTGTAGTTGAAAGTGACAAATTTCACACGAGTGTTTTTTCGCACGAGGCGATAGCCGAGTGCGAGAATCACACGAGTGTATGAAAGACGCTTTCTTACGAGTGATGTACACTATTTTTCCTACGACCAGAAACCAATTTACATCGATTTTCTCTTATTTTATTTCTTTTCATTTTCAACACACGTGCTGGAAAGTACTTTCAATCCACGTATTGAAAGTAAATTGTTATGTCAATCACAAATAATGTCAACAGTATTTTCCACACGTGTGCTGAAAGTACTTTTAGCACGAGTATTGAAAGTACTTTCAGCACGCGAGTGATATTTAGCGCTTTCCAAAGAACCAGCTAGTGCGAATTTTGTAATTTTCATATGTGGTCGTAGGAAAAAACTATTCCCTCCCTCATGAACTTGTCTCATACAACTTTGAGACTTAGCATATGAGTCGGGGTATAAAGATGAAAGGCTACACAATAGACAAACGCGCATCTGTAGAGACGTCACAAGGGTTACACGTAACGCTTCTTTCAAATCACTCTCCATTCTCCTCCAAATCAGACCGCCGCATAAGAAGTTTCAGTTCCAAAAAATCATGTGTAGCATCGTATACGTATTAAGAAGTGAAACTTTTCAAAAATTATACCCTCTATACAGCTTTGAGACTTAGCTTATGAGTCGGGGTAAAGACGAAGAGTCCGCGTATCTATAGTGACGTTACAAGGGTATCGGCGCTTGACAATAATAGGCAATCCTCTTTACTTATAATCCTTCGTTAGTGTGAATTGTTCATCGGCTGTCATCGTCATTGGTTGATGTCTTTCTCCGTCTCTCTACGTTATAGCTTCCTTCTCTCTCATCTCTCCTGTAGCGAAATTTGCCAAAACGTGACGTTACATGATGCGTCTTTCGTCTTTCAAATCACTCTCCATATTCTCCTCTAAATATCAGACCGCCGCCTAAGAAGTTTCACTTCAAAAACTGATAAAAAGTTTGACATGTACAGTCGTGAGCATAAAAAGTGGGACACCCGTTTTTTCCTATTGTAAAACGAGCTCATCAGCCTTAGAGCAGGTAAAGGTAAAGGAGTAGTAACCTGGATTTGGAAAATGAAGCCGTTTTTTTCCAGGTATTTTGGCCCACAAAAAATGGCGGTTATGGCAATTCAATGCTCTACCTGTATTTTGGTGCCAAACACCTGCCAAAAACTTAGCTTCACTTTAGTTTCATAAGCAGAATGGCGCGTTCCTACTCCTCATGTCCGTAGGACAGCGCTTTACCTGCTCTAAGTCATCAGCTATACCTATGGCAATGACAGAGATTGTCATATTTGACAAAAAAATCCATTGTAGAGAAAAGACTGATTTACCCAAAATAGTGAAAAAGGACTAGACCTGTCAGTCTGGTGCCCCACTTTTCATGCTCACGACTGTATATATTCCAGACCCAAGATTACTAAAGTTAATAAAATCTGTTTTTTTTTTTTAAAGATAAAAGTCAAAATGACATTATATTGGCAATACAATGTAAAATTGTCAATGTTTTCAAATTTTTTATGTAGAAAAGGCTTGTGTTGCCAACATAGTTACTAAATTTTTGACTTGGGGAATTATCTTTAAAAAAAAAACAGACTTTAGGTTGCCTGATAATGGGTTACTTGATGACGCATCTAATCTGAGGTACCTTGGAGATTTGCATTATGTTGAGGCACCCCAGATGACGGAAGAAAATTATCAGAGGGCTGGAACTCTGTGAAGGATAAGGATCGCTTTCCCTATCGCTATGGCACTTGCTGTCTTTTTCTTTCTTGTCAAAATCAATAGAGAGGAGTCGTCAATAGAGATAGAGAAAATATCTCTATCTCTATTCGTTACAGAGTTCCAGCCCAGAGGCAACCTATACCTCTCTCAAACAATCTTGTTCCAGACCTACAAATAATATAATCAAATAAAATATAAACAATGTATAAAAAACATGTATGAGAAAAATGTTCGAAAAAAACATTTCTTCAACATAAGAGCACAGGATTCAGAGCATTGCTGAAATCTGAATAGCGAGCGAAGAATGCGCAGAACGCAGAAAGTAATAAGAAGTTTGAATTATCTAATATACTATATTGTCCATCTCTCTCAAACACGACGCGCTTGCAACAACAAGCTATAGATATAACTACGTCGGTTGTCGGTCTTGACTCTCGAATAGTGAATAGTGCTAGTGGCTAGTGGCGCTAGAGCCACTACTGTCACGAATGCCACGTGCCACTGCCACAGGCTAGTGGTGCTAGTGCAGTGCAATGTGCAACGCAAGAGATCGCCCCGACCATTGGAATTTCGTCAACCTGTTGTACGGTGATTTTGCAATTCATTACAACACGTGACAGGATCCTGATGTATGTTTATTTTAATTAGTCCTCGCAAATTTTTGTCTACCAATTTTTCCCAACTTTAAATTTTTTATCCAAGTTTTCCCAACTTTCAATATATTTCAGGAACTTTGGGGGGGGGCGTTGCCCCCCCAACCCCCCCCCATGGCTCCGTCCCTGCTGAAAAATAATTCAATAAATTAACTACTCATTTAAAACATCTCTTTTACCGCCATGATGACTAGCGCCATCTAGTAGTGTCAATGGAAATTTCCAAATATTTATCCCTCATTATTAACAACATTAACAGCCAGTAAAAAATTAAAATTAATATGTATAACTTTATTTAATCAAATTAAAACAATGATTTTTAATTTTGCCAGCGATTAATTATTAGTTGATGAAACGATAATTAATTCCCTTATGAGTTGAAGATGAAACTAAGAGATGGCAGCACCATCCTTGTAAATATACCACCTCTTAAATTGCAACGTTGCAGTCAACCCACTTATTGATAATTTATTTTAAAGGTATAGAGAAACAAGTTAAAATGAGACACCTTCATTTAAACTATAACAACGTATTAAAATTAACTGACCTAAAATTCAATCAGCATTCGTTTGCGCTACATGATTACAATCAAATTACGTCGCAATTCATCTTCGACCTGGCAACGCCGCAATTATTATTGTGACATTCACTTTGGACAGGTTTTTGTTGTCAGTTTGCAACAAATTTCGGAGCGAGAGTAACGTCGTTTTCGTCGGGAATTGGCATCGATTATTCCCCATGAGACTTACAAGATGACCATAATAGTATTTTTAATTGATACGTCGGCTTCAATGTTCCAGAGGTAAGCGAATTCAGGTCCCAGGAAGAAAACTGAGGTTAGGTTTCTTCGCTGGTGGTGGTGGACGCTTTGTTGGCAGTGGCTATAGTCCGTTTCAAACGGCCAAGGAATAATTTTTTGAAAAATAATTTGTTGTAGAACTTTTATTGGAGGCCGCCAATCTTTACTGGACGTAGCTAAATCGGCTGTGGAGACTTTTGTGAAAATAAGGCAAAGGAGTATCGATAGTAGAATTGACCGGTATATGCTGTTAACTTTTGATGAGAGTCCTAATAATATTAAAGCTGGTATGTATATCGCAGTTTATTATGAAATGAGGGATTGAGATTGAAATGTTCTCAAAAGTTTAATGCTTTTTGGTCATTTTTGAAGACAATTTTTTGAAGGAAGAGTGCAGAAAATATATTTGCACAGCAAAAAGCGCACTTTGAATAACTACAGACAAAAAAATGTGTACCAGGGTCATTTTTTATATTTTCCTACCCTCCTCAACTTTTTTGTACCACTGTGTATAAAAAAATGTAAATAGGAAAGGTATAGTGCCCTCAGAGCTGGGATCGTTACTTGAAAAAAGTAACGCGTTACTTTTGCTTAAAAATAACTCGTTACTTAAAATTCACAGTTACTTTCGAATAATGATAACTTTATTTTCGTTACTTATTGGAAAGTAACGCGTTACTGTAACTTCTTTACTTTGAAAGTAACTTCTTTACTTTAAAAGTAGTTCGATACTTTTAAAGTAACGCGTTACTTCGAAAATAACTATTTACGTCAAAAATTGCGTTATTCCTTAATTTGACTCACCAACACAGCAGTCCAAACAATCAAATAAGACCTATACGAAATGCCAATATGTTTTTAGTTTGTGAGTCCGACTATGTAGAAGAGTATTTTTGCAAAATTCAAACGGATTAAGGATTAAGCGACTGAATAGAGCACTTGGTTTTGGACAAACCTGCTCTTTGCAGCGTCTCAGTGTTTGCATATAGTGTCTTTAGAGCAGAGGCGGCGCGTGGCACGCCCAAAAACGATTATTTTGAGCTTTCAAAACAAATTTTCTGTACTACCCACATTTTATTTGACATACAAAGTTTTTGGATTACTTATTTTCCTTTTCCTCACTCGACAATTATTTGTAAAGAAGATAAACAAATTGAGAGAACGAGTAGTAACTAGTAAAGCGTTACTTCCAGCGTTACTTCAGGAAAGTAACGTCGTTACAGTTACTTATCAATCAATCTGAGAAGTAACGCGTTACTTTCAGTAACTCGTTAAAGTAAAGTAACTATTTTTTGTCGTTACTCCCAGCTCTGAGTGCCCTAAAAAATAATTCTCAGAAAACATAGTTTTGTTCATACAGGTTGAAGGAAGTTTAAAAATAAAAAAAAAATCAAACTGTATATTTTTCTCTAGAATGATAGGTTTTCGTCTTCATATTCCAAATATACCATATGTTGATATTTGGCTTATCTGTTTTTGCGCTATTTGAGTTCAAAGATGCATGTAAATAACCCTAAATTAGGTCTGATCCCGTTTTACCCCCGTTTCCCTATAAGACTTTTTTCACTAATTCATTGCTATTTTAAACTTAAATAGCGCAAAAAAAGCTGAACCAATATATATTCTTCTATATTTATAATCAGAAGCTAAAAATCTGTCATTCTAGTAACAAATATACAGGGTGTCCCATTTAAAAAAAAAAGTATATAATTTTGGTTTTTAAACTTTCTGCGACACCCTGCATGAACAAAACTATGTTTTTTGAGAACTTTTTTTTAAGCACTACACCTTTCCTATTCACATTTTTTTTTTATACACAGTGGCACAAAAAAGTTAAGGGGTGGGGGGTGGGAAAATATAAAAAATTACCCTGTAAGTATATGAAAAAATAGTGCCGCGCATAGTACATATTTTGCTGAAGGCTTCGGTATATGCAAAAAAATCTTACTTAGGGCCTATTTTGTGATATTGTGCTACTACCAACTTAAAAACTGGGCCTTAGTTTGATACTTAACAAGTGTAGGTTACCATCAGTTGTGAAACTAGGGCTTATAGGAGTAAATAGTTAATCCTTTGATTACCTGTTGTAATTGTTTTGCCGAAATTACCAGTTCTAGGCCAACTAGCTATTTTTTGGAATATTTCCAGAAAAAGTATTGTCTTATCAGGTAGGTAAAAGGTAAATTCATAGCAATTTTGAATCAAATATGATTTTTTCTCAGAAAAGCTATATCTTGTGACTGGTAATTGTGAGAATATAGAAATTATAATTTGAGTGAGTGACAAAAAAATTGTGCCTCATACAAGAAGTGACCCTGATGAAAAATGTGCACTAAATTCTTCCCCACATTTCTACCTGCTTGATTTTTTTTTGTCAATTCTGGTTTGCTTGCCATCAAGGAGGTCTATAAACCTAGCAGTCCCAAGGTGGAAAAAAACTTCAGGAACTATATAATAATTAGGTGCTAATTAGGGCCTCTAATTAAAAATTAGGTGCTCCTTTAGTTTTTGAGAAAATCAAAAAAAACTAAGGGACTAACAGCTAGCAGTATAGTAAGAAATATTTTTTCAATTTTTTTCTTTGTATTAGAATTAGGTGCTTTTCAGGCAGTGGTGGTCCATACATGATTTTCTGGGGGGGGGGGGGGGGTAATGGATGACGGGAAAATCATCACGTGTCGCAACTTACGTACCACCGGAGGCGACATTTTTTTTGGGGTGCCACGCCCAAATTTGCACCCGGAAGTCGTTTAAAAAACACGCTTCGAGCAAAAATGTATCCCCATGCTGTCAAAATAGGGACGATATCTTCTTACAGGGTGATGCAAGAAAAAAAAATATAAATTTAAAGTTGTTTGATTCTCTAAGGTGCATTACTTAAAAATATTTTTAAATATACAGGGTTCTCTGTTTCTCTGTAAATGGGGTATGCAACAGAACTTTGTTATTTTTAATGGAACACCCTATATTTTAGTACATTCTATCGTTCTAAAAATTCTACATACTTTTTGTTAGGAATCATCTATACCAACCATAGACATACCAACACTCAATCGTTTTTAAAATATTTAATATTTTTTCAAAAAATTGCAGCTTGTGCCAAGAAAAACCAACATATTTCATCCATTGGCGATCTTATAAGCTAAAGCTTTCGCAGATTGTTAGTGCATAATGTCTGTCGATTTTAATTTGATACTCCAACGGAATCTGAGCTGGTGGCTCCCTATACATTAGACCGCCAATGGTTACCTGACGTCACACCTGTTTTTGCCATATGAAATACCTCCTCGCTCGTCATACGAAAAGTGTCAGTTTAAAAACGACGTACTTTACTTACATTTACTTCATGGTCGTATGAAAATCTCTTAACATTCTACAGGGTGTTCGCAATACTGTACACAAAACCAGACATTTCAAACAACCATAGCACTGTATAGTACTAGGTAGGTATGCAAGGTTGTTTGAGAGAGGTAGGTTGCCTGATTTCTTAATGACGTCATCTGGGGTGCCTCAACATAATGCAAATCTGCATAAGGCATCCCAGATGCGTCATCAAGTTACCCATTACCAGACAACCTATGAACTTCAGGAACCTTGGTAGGTACGTCAGTACTGGTGAGTCTATCTTATTCATACAATGCCTTTAATCCTTTACTTTGTAGAACTTGTCTTTTGTTGAAATGTTGTTGTAATTAGTAAATGTATAAAAAAATCTTTGGGGGGGGTATTACCCCCTCTATCCCCCCCTTGTTTTCAGGTGCTCCTAAATAGTCGAAGAAAAAATAGAATTGATTAATTATTACCTGAGTTACAGATTTTTTTTTAATTATTAGGGGACTGCTGGCTTTACGTTTACTTGTTGGTGTGTCAGAATGGAAAAAAACTTCGGAATCTATATAATAATTACGTGCTTTTTAGGTGCTAATTAGAGTTTCTAATTAAAAATTAGGTGCTCCTCTAGTTTTTGAGAAAATCAAAAAAAACTAAGGGATTGCTAGGTTTATGAAAGCTAGTAGCCCCCTATAGTAAAAAATATTTTTCCAAAATTTTCTTTTGTATCAGAATTAGGTGCTTTTTAGGTGCTCCTAAATAGTCGAAGAAAAAAAAGAATAATTAATCAATTCTATTTTTTCTTGGACTATTTAAGAGCAACTAAAAAGCGCCTAATTCTGATACAGAAGAAAATTTTGGAAAAATATTTTTTACTATAGGGGACTACTAGCTTTCATAAACCTAGCAATCCCTTAGTTTTTTTTGATTTTCTCAAAAACTAGAGGAGCACCTAATTTTTAATTAAAGGCCCTAATTAACACCTAAAAAGCACCTAACTGTTATATAGATCCCGAAGTTTTTTTCCATTCTGACACACCAACATGTAAACGTAAAGCCAGCAGTCCCCTAATTATTAAAAAAAAATCTGTAACTCAGTTAATAATTAATCAATTCTATTTTTTCTTGGACTGTTTAGGAGCACCTAAAAACAACCTAATTCTGATACAAAAGAAAATTTTGGAGAAATATGTTTTACTATAGGGGACTACTAGCTTTCATAAACCTAGCAATCCCTTAGTTTTTTTTTGATTTTCACAAAAACTAGAGGAGCACCTATTTTTTAATTAGAGGCCCTAATTAGCACCTAAAAAGCACCTAATTATTATATAGTTCCCGAAGTTTTTTTCCACCTTGGGACTGCTAGGTTCATAGACCTCCATCAAGAAGTGGTAAACTTGTAGAATTTTGAAAATCTTCACATGATTTTAGAAGATTATAGATCTTTAAAATTTAAGGTGATTTTGGGGAATTTTTGGGGATTTTGGAAGGATTTTTGGAGATTTTCGTGTATTTTTGAAAATGTTGGATATCACCATTCTCCTTGCCATTATCTATATCAGTCAATCAAAATATACTTTTTTTTTTCCGAAAATAAAGGACCCCGCACACTTCTTATGGGATTTTGGATGAATTTTTCTGAAAATTTGATATGATGCTCCTCTCAACATTCTGATTAACAGTGTTCATAGCCACAACTTGATCCTATGACTCTTTTTCAATGCAGGTAGTTTAATGTCCAAGAAATGCACACATTTTATATGCATTTACATCTACCTCACTTAATAACGAGCCTAATAATATACCAGGATTGACAGGTATCCCCACGCCCCCCTTTAAATATCTTTGATTATCACCATATTTAATTTCTCGGGTAATTTTTATCAAATTTCTCCATATTTTAGGATGGAAAGAAAATCTAGCAACCTTCATGAACGAACTCAAAAACCTGCAATGCACGACAATGACCACAATGGGTGTAGCAGTTAAGCAGGCCTTTGACGTGCTCAACATCAACCGCATGACTTCAGGTATCGACACTTATGGCCAAGGCAGATGTCCATTTTTTCTAGAAACAGCAGTTATTGTTTTAATAACTGACGGAGGCAAGCTAACAACGCCTAACGGAGTACAAGAAGATTTCAATCTGCCAATGAACTCGCCAATTCCCGGTTCCGAAATGACGAGAGAACCCTTCAGATGGGACCAACGACTATTTGCTTTAGTACTGAGATTAACAGGTACTCCGGCAGTGGACAGAGATACAGGCCTGGTGCCCAGCGATGGTAGCCCCATAGATGCTATGTGTGAAGTCACAGGTGGCAGATCTTACTGTATAACTTCACATAGAATGTTGAATCAGTGCATAGACAGCCTGGTACAAAAAGTTCAAAACGGTGTAGTTATAAACTTTGAAAAAATCGGCCCTGATCCGCCCCCACTGCAGTACGACAAAGAAGAAGGCAAAGATGAAGAAGAGGACAGAAACGTGCCGCAAAATACCCTGTGGCACAGTTGCAGAAAAATGATTTATGTACCGAAAACCAGCAAGTCGTTTTGCGTAGGCTTTTGGCCTATTCCAGAATCGTTTTGGCCAGAAGTCTCTGCCAGTGTTTTGCCGCCAAGATCTGCCCATCCAATGGTTAAATTCACCTGTACAATGTCTGAACCTTTGGTTATAGAAAATTTGCCTTTTGATAAGTACGAGCTGGAGCCATCGCCTTTGACTCAATATATTTTGTCTAGGAAACAACCTAAAACTTGTTGGCAGGTAAGAATTTAACAATAGTATAATTAAATGTTCAAATAATAAATCCACCTATAACACATTTTTGTATGAAACAAACCCTATAATTGGGTTATAATTGCATAGCTTTCCAGTCAGAATACACACAGAAGATAATATATGAGTATTCTTTTATTTAGACTAAAAATCACTTGATGGATTTATCCATACTTGTGCTGATGTGAGCATTCGAATTTTTAGTTGGTGAAGCCTTATTTCTTCTGCATTTATTAAAACTGATTATGAGAAAGATGGAGGTGTCAGAATTTTAAACCAGTTCCCACCTCATGAATTTGTGTTTCACCTTATTGATAGTGAATTTTATGTTGAATTATTTATTTAATTCAATTACCAAGTAGGTTGTAAATATGTATATCGTAGATTCTCAGTTGACAATATTTTCTGGATAAATGGTTGTTCGGACTATTTGGCCATAGTTCATAGGAATTTTTTTTTTCTTGGCGTTTCGCCGATTTGCTCGGCATCTTCAGGAGACCTGTTTATGTGAGCGAGGTTACATCTCATTTAATGGTTCAGGAACAGTGGACTTCTTCCCGCTGTTTGACTGAAATAATTTGAGTGTTCTCCAAGACTGGTACCATGCTGCGTTTAATTGTTAGTGTTTCTTCGGATTTATTGAAGTGTTTGTAGATTTCCAAGGCTTTAAGAAAACTTGGTGTTGAACAAGTGGCTGAAGTTCAAGAACATCTTCGCCTCGGATGGTAAACTGTTCACTTGCAAAAAATCGTTTATTTCCAGCAATCTTAAAACTACTTTGTTTTTTTTTTCAGGTGTTCGTAGCAAACAGTTACAAAAACTCAGAAGTGGGTCATCCTTTTGGCTATTTGAAGGCCAGCACCAACCTTAATTGTGTCAATTTATTTGTAATGCCTTATAATTATCCTGTCTTATTACCTTTATTAGACGAATTGTTCAAAGTGAGTAAAAATGAGGCAGTATTTATATGTTTTGATTATACAAAATATGTTTTTTTTAGATTCATAGATGGAAACCTACAACTGAATGGAGAACAGCTTTTCAAAATTACACTAGGACGTTACCGGCTTATTATGCAGGACCTTTGAGAAGAGCTCTTACGAGAATGGGTGCGAATGATTTTGAAAAGTATATAATTTATATTAATTAATTTTGTTTGGTATGTTTAGGCACTCCTGTAGCTTTAGCTCAAACACTTATACCAGAAAACGCTGAAAATTGCCTCAGTTATTCTGTACAAAACTATCTGAAAAGAGTGAAAAATCAAGCCAAGGTAGAACACGATAAGTTATGTGGTGAAATTATTCAGCGACAAGCTACAGTAAGTATTTTCAACACAATTGTTTGGCCTATTTGAAATTATTCATTGTTTTCCAGCAAAATACAAAATCGCATCTAAACCAGCTAGAACAAATCAGAGTTCCACCCACAGTTGTCTTGAAAAAAGATTTTATCAGCCATCCAATGTTACAAGACAAGCTCCAGGGTCAACGGGAATTAATGCTGGAACAAACAAATATGTTTTTCAGCACTTTAGACAAGGGAAGACAAACTGTTAGTTTTAAAAATCCTTTTGATGCACCACGAATTCAACAGGTAGGTTGTATTTTGAAAAAACAAAATTGTAGGTATCTTGCACAGGCCAAGACAACTGGACGCATACAGCGGATTCTTCTTTTGAATAGTTGTTAGTATCAAAACTGATTTATTTCAACAACAGTGATGTAATGTATAGGTTCAAAAAGAACCAGTATTTACTAGTTCCATCATTTAGCTTGTGAAAAACAATATCTACCTCACTGAAGTATTATAAAATATAGCAGAGAATTTTGACCTTAGAGCCATTGAAATGGACTATTGGAAACAAGCAGCAGGTATATCCAGAATAGAATTTCACAAAAGAAATAATGCTTATGCTATAGTGGAAAACTGAAGTGATATTACCAGGCCAGGTACAAAAATATCTTGGAAAGTTGGAGAACATGGCAGCTGGAAATCGAAAGATGTCAGAAAACTTTCTAGACCAACATATTTATATATTGTTACATAAGCGGGTCCATAGATAAGTGAAATCACTAACCTAAATAAATTTCATTTGAAACAATAATACAGGGCATTTCTAAAGCGGGAAGGATTATAAACCAATATGTTAATTTTTATTGAAAAATGTTAGATTTTTTTCTAAAACCATTACTGATTTGGGGCTAGTAAATTAATTATTATTATATTCGAAATTTTTAGGTGATTCGTATGAGAAACAACATTGTCCAACGCGACTGGATAGCTCAAGATTTAGACGTGGCCCATTCCCTGCCCATATCTCAAATGGGCAACTATCAAGAATATTTGAAAAAACAAACACCTCAACTCAGAGAAATCGAGACTGCACCAGTTCGACAACACATGTTTGGAAATCCATTTAAAATCGACAAAAGGATGATGGTAGATGAAGCCGACATAGATTTGGTGGGTTCGCCGTCAGGGACCACTAGAAACAACAAAAGACCAAACCCCACCACCATAGACATGGCTAATAGGTTGCCGTTTAAAAGGAAGCCAGGGCCTTTGCCGAAAATCTTCAATGTTCGAAGACCAAGCGGGACAGATATTTCGCCCTTACCGACCCCGCCAGCATCGCCACAACCTTCTCCGATTCCTTGGTTGACTAACGTTGATAAGGAGCCTATTGACGAACCTTCCGATATTATTATTACGAATGGACTTGATAGTCCTAGTTCGGCTTTGAGTGAAAGGAGTCGTTCACCATCTCCTCCTTTGGGATTGCCATCTTTTGATGTTAGTTTTTCTAGTCCTAGTTTGGTATCGACCACAGGAGCTAGTACCACTAGGAATAATTTCAATTATTCTACAGCTGGTAAGGATGCATTTTTTACATTTTTTTTTTATCAGTGTATAAATATAACAACAGATCAAGAAAAATAAATACTAAATTACCATTATATGTATTCAACAGTAGTATATTACACACCAAGTTTAGTAATGAGTGGCAAGTTTTGAGTATATACTTACATTACCTACAACAATAGTTAAATATGTTCTTGAAAATCAACGTAATGTCTATTTTCAGCAACCTATTCTAACCTTTCTGTTTTACTCATTTTAGGTAATTTACAACAAGAAACTCTAATAACAAATTCCCTAAATGATTACTATAATATTTCTGCCATGGAGAGTACCAACAAAGAAATATCACAAATATTAAAGGAAACCAATTACAATCACAACAGTAATAACGAGACATTTATTACAAGTAATAACGTGCCTGAAAAGGAGAAAGAAGTGAAACCACCAAAAGTAATAATACCAAAAAAAACCGAGGTAGAAAGTCCAAAAGAAAAAGTTCCGGAAAAACCCAAAGAAATAAACAAAGAAGAGATTGACTCGCAAAACTTTGAAATCCGCAAAAACCTCAACAGGCTTGTCAGGAAACCCGGTAAAAATTTTGCAGAACTTTTTGACAGTATTAAGACGCTTAAAGGCGACGCGGACACCCAAGTGCACATTGTCAAATTGATAATCAAAGAAAGTTTGAGGTTCAAAAGGCAACAATTGGCAAATATGCTGGAGGATCATATACAAACGTTAATGACTGTGGAGAATAAGTGACAACGATGTTGTGTTTGTGTTTATAGATAATTTAATTATTATGTATTTGTAAGTAAAATAATAATTCGGCACAAAATATTCTCTTGAAGATCTTAGCAGAAACCAGAATTAATTGATTTTATGTTATTTAATTGGTGAGGTTTCTCGATAGAATAATTTTATAGTCCTAAAAAGTTTTAATTTATTGATGTAAGTCTCCCACATTTGTACAGCCCTTTATAATAAAATTTTAATATGTATTATTTAAAAATAATCATGTATTATACGGTTTTCCAATATGTTGATCACCCATTTTCTATTCAAAAAAAAATTGGACAGCTATTAATTAGTGTATCCATATAAAGAATCCTTGGTTTACAGTGTCAAGGATATAGATCTATTCTTGGCAATCTAGCGATAGCTTTTAAATCTACTAATAAAAATTTAACAATTTTTCAGGAACAGTTTTCTATCGCTTAGCCAGAAGTTATGCAAACAGCACTGATATGCTAGCTGTTCTCATGGTCAATGCCAGACCGCCATAGTATCTTTCACTAGATGGAGGAACAGTAATGAATACAACCTAAGCATCTTCGGGAAAAGGATTAAAATAGTTGATGAAGTGAAATACCTGGATGCCAAGTTAACATGGAACTCACACTTAACACATACATTTTGCAAAAGAAAAAGTTGAATGCCTTGAGAAAAAACACATTCTAGACAACAAATCTCCACAGATTGCCCACTTCACTAAAGTGAGGAGTTTTAGGAAGAAATTGTCGTACTAAATGGAAAAAAAGTTTTTTCCAAAATAATCATTACTGTGACAGCATCTGGATGGGGAACATGAACAATGACAAACATGAGAGAAAAAGGAATCAAATAACATTCCAATAGCTAAGAACAATAAATACTGAATAGCAGAAAATCATGATCCGATTATTGGAAAGTCAAGTAGCAAAAACCACTGATATAGACACTGTGGTCTTGTTCTTATAGCTTATAAAGTCTGATAATTCCCCAAATCAAAAATTTAGTGACTATGTTGGCAACACAAACCTTTTCTACATAAAAAAATTGAAAGCATTGACAATTTTACATTGTATTGCCAACATAATGTCATTTTGACTTTTATCTTTAAAAAAAAAACAGATTTTAAGACTTTTCCAACATCAGGTTGTCAACTTCATTTAACAAGTTCACAAACTTTTTTATTTTTAACCATATATGAAATGTCCATATATGAAATGTTGTCATTGCTGACTTTTCAAAAATTTGTAAATGTCACATTTGTCTTTTCATTTTCCTGCTCCATTACCTGTTCCAGGACCGGACATGAGGACAGGAAATTTTTTCCGTCCTCATTCCCCGTCCACGGACGGAAAATGGAGCAGGGAAGTATTTTCCGTCCTCATTTCCTGTCCTCATTTTACGACCCTTTTTGGTTCTCACGATTTTTTTTTTTTTTTTCAAGAAATTATGGTTAAAAATAAAATAGTATACAAACCTCGACGGAAAACTTCATTGCTGTCTCGAAGTATAATCTTTGCTCGAAGTTTAGTTTGCGTCTTGATAAACTATATAACCTCTCAACCAGCAATGAAGTTTTTCCCGTCTCGGATTGTAATATACGTTCAACACACTGTTGGGCAAATACGTTCAATAAGGAATTTCTAAATAATAATTAAACTGTTTTGATTAAAAAATGTATTATCAAAATATTACAAAACTAGGTATATCAGCTACACTTATGTCTTAACATTTAGGCCAATATATTCAAAGATAAATAACAATATTCATGAGCAATTTGGCGATGTTTAAACTAAAAAGATCATACAAAAAACTTGAACAGACCAGAAATGTATCTCTAGTCCCACAACCAAAACTATAAATTAAAAATGTTCTAGAGAAAATTAAAACTATTCTTCTTAGGAGAAACAAAAGGTGACATAACTAGATGATTATTATTATAATTAAACTTAACCTTATACTGAATCTTATTACATCACTGGAGGTCTATGAACCATTGAAATGATAATTATGAAAAAGGAACAAGTTCGATACATATTAAATCTACAAGGTACATAAATAGACAAAGATACAAAATTTACAAATAGTTACGAATGATAAGGTAAGGAATGGTATGTTGCACGATACACGTAATGATATTTATTTTAAATGGACGGACAAATACACAACTATAATGACGACTTCCAGAAAAATTGCTCAGTTCTGGAAACTAGTGCATTTTATTTTTTGTGTTATTTTGACTCATTTTCAAAATGACAGTAGGTATTCTCATGATTGTTGTCTTGGTACAGTGCGGCAAGAGAATTATCAACTATCTAGTCTAATTTGAAGGGATAGTGTGAGCGAGTCAAGACAGTGATATAGTGAGTATCAAAATTATCTATGGTGACATAGTGATGTCAAAATAACACAGAAAAAGTCCAATAACTCTTTAATAATGCATTTGGGGTAAGATGATCAGCTCAGTGAAATCAAATTCCAAAAAAAATAATAATTTGAATCATCAATAAATGTATGAGCTACTTAATCTTTGGTATATATTAAGTGACAGCAAAAATTGAAGCTGAAAATTCACCCCAAACCCGATTTAAAAAAAAACTAAACCTTAAAGTACCCAGGAAACACATATGCCATTAATCCACATCAAACCATCAACTTGGAAGCCCTTAGCTATATTTACGATATGTCCTTTCTCTCCTACATAGCTACATTCTCCATCTCAGTTCAGGCATATGAATTTCCTGGGAAGTATCCTAAAATCTATCCTTGGCTGATAACATGTCAGTGTCGTTTAACATTTGCAAATCCTGAAATTGGAGGAATTTTTCTTGATTTCTTATGTGTGCGTAGTTGGCTGCTAGACACATCAAGTAATGGACCTGTAGAGTAACACATTTTAGTTTCTTATACTATGGATATGTTTGCATCTAATTTACCAAGCTGAGTATCACCATAACAGCAGAAACTGAAGCCAAAATAAACATGATTTCCACCTTCTCGACATAATCCTTACAAAACGCCTTGATGTTGCTTTCGCCTTCTACTTTCATGTGTTCCTGGCGCGTTCCAGCAGGGAACAGGAAATCTGGTGTATTAAAAAAAAAATTAAAATTATGTTAAAAACACAATGGCCAAATCTACTCACAAAACTGTGTCAAGTCGATGGAATCGTTTAAAGAGGCCACTCGAGGATTCTCGCACATTTTCCAAAATATCGTAAATACAAAAGTGACTATTACTAAGCAACAAAAAATCAATAGCCATGCCATTTGTAGGACATAAGTAATTCCCATAAACTGAAAAAGACAGAGCAATTATGGTAAAAATTTACTTGTAGCATGATGTGCTCTATTTTCAGCACACATTCACTTTACTTACAACAGCACAACTTAGCCTTCCAGATACTCTCGAACCCCAACCTTTGTAAACTTTGTGCCTTGTGGCACCTGTAGCCAGAAATCCCACAGTCAAAATCATCAGACCTAAGGCCCCCATGCACGCTCCTATTAGGACAAATGTCATTTTCACTGCATCAACCCTAAAAGTTTTCCAAATTAATAAAAATACAATCAACAAAACCTTTACTCTTACCAGAATAGTTGCATACTAAATACTTCGCTAAACATCAGTACTGATAATGTGGCCCCACGGTACATGGTCCCGCAGAAAATGATAACACCCAAGGCACACATTATTGTTGCTATTAGGGTGGCATAAGGTATACGTGTAAGGCATTTTTCGTAACAACCTAAAAAAAAGGATACGGATGAATCATTTATTGTATTCCTGGAAAATACATTTTCCGTTTTAAATGACAAACGTTGAAGGCGCCAAATAATTAAATAATAGCTTTTTGCAACAAATTTCATTGGAATTTGTTTGCATTTCTATTATTAATGATAAGGAATGTTACTTGTTTCGTAATGGTATTTAATTAAGGAATAAGTCATGACTGAATACATTTTTTTTACCAAGAATTATGAGGATTTCAACTAGCAGAATTGAATAATCTTCAAAAACAATATGTGGGTTTTCCAATGAAATGGAATATTTCTCCTTTCAGTTATGGATTTATTTAGGTACTATCTTTTTCAATATACAATAATATGGAATGACTATCATCTGTTTAGCAGAGAGTTAAGGGTTAAAAATATCAAAACACCCAACAAAATTGAGGTTTTCATACTGTTTCCCAAGATTTTAGATAAATGTATAAAATATATGTGTTATAATTTTAATTCACAGTTGAGTAACTTAAAGTTCACAAGTTTACATCAAACAAGTTATTTTAATGTCAAGGGAGTGGCTGTGTTACTCGTCCAAGAATCAGGAAAATCAAACCAGAGTATTCCAAACAAATTAAATTTAACTGATATCTTACAGGCTTTCAGCCTCTCGGTGATCATCAGTGCTAATTGTCAGTTTTTTTTTTTCCCCCTTGTTCCACGCCTGTCTGACTTATTGTCTCGGCCTATGATGTATCATCATATTTTGTTAGTTTGTTTATTATATTTGTCAACATAGATGTTAAGCTATAACATAGCTGTTAGAATAACAGGAGAGGGAGGATACATCATAGGCCTAGTTTACAGGTTTATAATGAAAGGATAGGGGTTTGATAATTATGGGAATGAAACAAGGAGGGTGTAATTTTTCCAATAAAATATCTCTTAGGACTATGACTGCTAAGGTAAATATGTTTGACGATGATCAGGAAGAATTTTGCATTCAAATTAGATTAAGAAATAATAGGTCTTTATTTGTATATAGTGGTATTTTATATTGAGCCAATGCAATCAAAATATGTCTTTTGAGATTGAGATGGCCTGTGCAAAGGACATCTTGTTGCCAGTGGACAGCCATCATCCCTGTTAAAGTGTGTATATCAAGGGGTGAATTACTAATCAAATTATTACCGGCTCTTGGGGGCCTCTAGGAAAAACTTCCAATGCCTCAATAGCTGGATTAATTGTAATTTGGATCAAATGTGAGATTTGAAACACTAAGAAATATTTGTAACAAATCAGGAGCCAGTATTAATTAAATTTTGAGCTATTACCCAAGGGGTGAACCACTAGAGTGAAAATGTGACGCGATTGCGAAAAATAAGGGATTTCACATGATTGTGCTGGATTTCACAGGGATTCCGCGAGATTTCGCGGAATTTTGTATAATTTCGTGGGATTTTGCATGATTGCAGAGGATTTCTCATGATTGCGCAGGATTTTGCTGAAATAACCAAGCATACCTACTTACCTAAGAAATCTGTAGTAATATTCATTTGATGCTAATGATACAATTTAGGAAAGGAAAACTACCTACTATTGGTACCTAGTAAATTCGATATCATTATGAAAATAAAGAATGGGACACTTTTGACTTTGGAAACATCACTAAGAGTGATGTAATCAGTGGTATAAGAAAACTTAAACCCAAGAAATCCACCAGCCACGATGAAATACCATCTTATACAGGGTGTAAAAAAAGTGTACTTCTAGGGGTGATACTACTTATGAGAATAAGCATGCCTTAAGATGCTCCCTGAAGAAGTTACAGACCTTCAAATGGTAAATGAAAATAATAGATTTTATATATTTTCAAGAACAGTGGCAAACTATTTTCCTTGAAATTTGGTATTCTTGCATACATTTCGATGCAAAAGCGAATGGTGATAGGAAAAAAGTCTTAACAGTTCTGAAAGGGTAGAAAGTAGTTAATCACAAAACAAAAAAAACAATAGGAACTTTTTTTCTTATTTTCATATGTAGTATTACCCCTCGAAGTCCGGTACACTATTTTTTTTATACCCTGTGCAGAACTATTAGCAGAGTACTTGGACTATCCTTTTTGACATGTCAGTTAAGCAGGAATGCTTTCTAGATGTGTTAAAATTGTCAACTATTTCTCCAATTCATAAAAAAAGATGCAAAGAATGACATTCTAAATTATAGGCCTATTAGTTTCTCAAACAGCTTGGCTACAATCTTCGAAAACATTCATTATGAGAAAATATATGAATGAGTAAAACATAAATCAGCAGGTTTCAGCATGGTTTAGTAAAGGATAAATCCACTTTAACAAATAAGGAGATAAGGTGAATCACTGTGTTCTCTTAAATAAATTGGTTGAGTTTGGGTTCTTAAGAAAAGCTTGCAATTTGTTGAAATCCTTTGATAGGGAGAACGAAAGTATTAAGATAGGTGATTGTTTCTCTAGGGAATATGTATCAACCTCAGGAGTCCTACAGGGTAGTAAACTTGGACCATTGCTTTTTATACATATTGTTTATCAAAGACTTGTATAATTGAAGAGAAATAGTAAAGTCAAAGATCTTGGAGTGACTTTTGAATCAACATTAAAATTTAATGATCATTTTGTTAATATTGTGAATACGGCTTATAAAGTTTTGGGCTTTGTCGAGGGGGTAACATCTGGCGGCAATACTGTCACAAATTCTTAACAATCGCTTGCAATCACTTAAACTGCCGTGGCAATCTCAGTCGCAGTCCCGCAATCGCGTTTGCAATCTCACAATCGCTTTAAAACAATCCTGCAATCGCATTCGCAGCCTCGCAATCTGACAATCACATTGGCAATCGCGTACGCCTCCACCTGTTCTCAGGTACAATCGTGTGCCGCGCGTTTATTTGTTTGTAAATAGTGAGAGTCAGCGCAGTCGGCAAAGAGAAAGATTGACAGACAAATTTCTTGCTATTTTATGCTATTTATTTGCGATTAAACTGTTATTAAACTGTGGTGGGATTATTACTATAAAGGCCGATTTACACGTATCCAGTAGCTGGCGCTAGTCTCACTGGCTGCATGGCATGCCAATTTTTGGCTGGTAAAGCGCTGGCCCCAGGTCGTCTACATGAGTCCAGTTAATCGTGAGTTTTCACTGCGGTAAGTGTTCCCACGATGCCTGAACTGGAACGACATGCAGTGAGACTGGCGCCAGCTACTGGATACGAGCGAATCGGCGTTAAAGGTAAAAGCCTGCACCTAAATTATTTCTTATAGAAAATATTAATTGACCGTTGACCGCATTTGTAAGTTTAGAATTTCGATTTAGCGGGACTTCTTCATTCAAATCAAATTCAAGTCCATTTCATTCATCTGGAAGTCACACTTTGGAATACCCTAAAGAATATTTTGAGTACAAATGACCTGATCCAGAAGATGTTATGTCAAGCCAAAATGAATTATTTAGTGAAGATACCATTGAAGAGCTAAATGCTATGTTACAGTGTTGCCAAAGCTACCCCGTTCGGGGTAGATCTACCCCTTTTGAAAACAATCTCGCCCTTCCGCTCCTCTCAACTAAATCTACCCCGCTCTCCGCTCTATAAATCCAATCTTGCTATAACACAAAAATAATGATTTGCTTATCGCTAATTAAAAATACTTACAAAATCCAAATTATGAGACGCAATTTATATTTATTTGAACTGTATTCGAGTTTTTTGTCTACGCTTTGTCGCCTATGATATAAACTCATTTAGGGATTTCTTTCAGTGCCTCCTTTGAATTTGTATGATTATTGATATATTGTAGTTATTTACCTAACAAATGCGGAAAGCAGCAAAGCTTAGTCTACTTTACCGCACACTATGCACTGAAGTAACAATAGGTCTGTTTCTGCAGAAATCACAAACCAGTCATAGTGAATTTCATTGGTTGAAAACAATCAGAAAACTAGTTTCAACCAATGAAATTCACTCTGACTGGTTTGTGATTTCTGCAGAAACTTATCTTAAGTATACCGCATACTGCAGTTTACTTTACCGCAGACTATGCGGTAAAGTAACTTTACCGCACGCTCGTAGGTGAAATTTTTGTTGCTACCCCGCACCGAATGTATTCTACCCCGCTATCTTGCCGTAATCTACCCCAATAAAAAAGGAGCTTGTGGCAACACTGGCTATGTAGGAATAATGGAATTCATTTTCAAACTACGATTTACTAGATATTGAAAACTACACTGATCACAATAATTCAAAAACATTAGACCCTAGCCTTCTAAAAATAAAAGTTTAGGACAAAAATTTGTTGATGAAAAAATAAACACTGTGCTGGCTATTTTCTAATAAAAACGAAAAGTTATCAACCGAGTTATCATCAACAGATAGAAATCTCAGATGCATATAAGTATGCAAAGTTGTCAAAAAAATAAATAAAGTAACAGAATAGTAGAAATAGAGCCTATCAAAAGAGCAAAAATAAGAAACTGCAATCAAAAAGGGCTCCAAACATGGAAGATGCCAAAACCTCTGAAAGTGGGAGCTATTCAGAAAAAAAATTAATTGAAAGCAGAAGAAAATACATTTTGCGAAGAAGTGTCTCTGAAAAATGAAGCTGCTGCATATGATACATGATACATGATGTAATTGCCGGATCATAGAGACGTTAGATGTTGATATAAAGTATAAAATGTCAGAAGAGGTCTTGATGATTACATTTGGCAAGATGAAGATATACAAATAGTTGCGAAAAAAATATATATTTTGTGGTCCCATTGCTTTGCAAGGAAAAAAAATTCATCTTAGAAAGCAAGACAAGGTGAATATCGAGAAAATAGGTTCAAGATCCCAAAAATGTATGTATCCATTCAACTTTGTTACAAGTACAGGGTATGTTCCTTATAATTAGTGCGGCTTCTACAACTTGAACAAAAAAAAGTTAAATACAAAAGTTATAGGGTTTTATTTCTATTATATTGCACATGTCAAAACCACAATCAAAACCAGAGATAAATACTATATAAACTGTCGAGAATGGAATCTCAGTGTAAATTTTTTTGTCAACAAAATTGAGCCAAGCCAGCGCCATCTACTATATTGGAAATATTACTATTACGCTACAGATACCTACTTTACATAGTGCTTTAAGGCATTTTTATGATAGATGGCGCCCTGTTCGCATTAATCTCGGGCTGTTCAAATTTGTTTATTCTAGATCTTGGGACATTAACTTTGCTTAAACTAATTGATTTTTTGTTAGTTAGATCAAAAGACAGTTCCTTTATGTCAAAACGGACAAACTATAAGTACTAACTGTCATAATGACTAAGGCTCCCTTTTTTTTTTCAAATGATTGATTTTTTTTTCTGATTCCAAATATACCATGTTGATTTTTGGCTCAGCTGTTTTTACGCTAATTAAGTTTAAAATTGCATCAAGTAAGCCTCACCATTGATATCAGGAACTGGAAACAAAAAATGAATATGCAACTGGAAACAGACGTGATTTAAGGTAACGTAAATGCCTCGGTAAATGCATTTTTAACTTAAATATTGAAAAACAGCTAAACCAAATATCAACATTTTTGGTATATCTGGAATCAGAAGAAAATAATCTATCATTTTATCAACAAATATACAGGGTGTTCCATTTGTAAAATGCAAGTGTATGACAGTTGGCATTTGTCCCTTTTGACATGTGCAAAATATAATAAGTAGAAATATCAATAAAACCCTGAAACTTTTGTGTCTACTTAATTTTTTTTATTATTTTCACAAGTTGTAGAAGCCGCACTGATTATAAGGAACAGACCCTGTACATACCCATATTATATAGAATTTTTAATACCTATTTAGAAGTACCAAACATTCTAGTGACTAAACGTATGTCGCTTCTTGAACACACAAATAAAATAATGTTAGGAATTTCCTGTTTGTACAGGGTTATTGGTTATAAATGCCACCCCCTCTATCTTTTTTATTTGACATTTTAGAAAAAAGTGTCCCAAATAAAAGTTTTACGGTTGAAATTAAATTTTTTGAAAAATTCACTTTCGCATATACAGGGTGTTTCAAAAAAGCTGGCCGTGCTCCAAATTTCTTATTTCAAATAGAATACCCTGTATATTATTGGATATCCGGATTCTACGTAAAAATCTGAGCAGATTTCATGTGATATACCATATACCCAAGTTCAACTGTTTTGGAAATATTGACAGTTGAAAATTGACTTTTTTGCAACTTTGACAGGCTGTAAATCCTAAACGGTTAATTTTAGAGCAAAACCGATCTTACATTTTTATTTTAGATTTTTATAAACTATCAGTTGACACCAATATTTGACATCAACTTTGAATTTAATCCCTGATTGAAAATTCCAATTAAATTTAATCTTCGGTTAAATTCAAAGTTGGTGCCAAATAATAATTTGTGAAAATCTTAGAAAAAAATGTAAGATCGGTTTTGCTCAAAAGTTAACCGTTTAGGTTTTACAGCCTGTCAAATTTGCGAAAAACCCAATTTTCAACTGTCAATATTTCCAAAACAGTTGAACTTAGGTATAGGGTATATCACATGAAATCTGCTCAGAATTTGACGTAAAATCTGAATATTAAATAATCAGAATCAGAATCAGAAAAAGCTTTATTATCAAAGATAGAAATCTTATTGACAAAGCAGTCTTATATCTACATAATCAAATAAAATAAAATTAAAAGTAAAGTATTACTAATTTACACTAAATATGTGATTCATAAGGTATGTAAAATTAAAAATTAAATATAAATACACAAAAATACAACTATAAACAAAATAAGATAAAATAAAATAAAATAAAATAAAATAAAATAAAATAAAATAAAATAATATAAAATAATATAAAACATCAACATCATTACATATAAACTAACAATCGACATTCAACTAGCTGCGTAAAACTCTTCTAAAGTGTAAAAACAATTCTCCAAAAGATAGTCTTTCACGTTTTTTCGGAAGGCATTAAAATTATCAAGTTCTCTCAATTGTAAAGGTAGATTATTGAATATTTTACGGCTTTCATATATTAAGGATTTTTTTATCATTGTTGAAGAGGGTATCGGAAGATGGACAACCTGTGTCTGTCTAGTTCTGTAGTTATGCTGGAAATTGTAGCTATCCCTATACCTATTTTTGAATATCAAACAAACTGATTCCAATATATACAGAGATGTTAGGGTAAGCAATCTGTAGTCCCTGAAATAAGGCCTGCAGGAATCATTCCGTCTTAGCTGAAACATTGATCTGATAGCTCTTTTCTGGAAGCAGAAGACGGACTGAAACAGGCCATCACCGCACGCACCCCAGAATGCTATCCCATAGTGCAGATGAGACTCTACCAGGGCATAATAAACATCCCTCGCTACCCCCACGCCAAGCTCCCTCCGGACAACCCTAACGGCAAAGCATCCCGACGCAACCTTTTTTTTCAGTTGACTTGTATGTGCTTCAAAGTTCAGTTTTTCATCGATGAAAATTCCCAAAAATTTGGTGTGTTTTTCCTGCTGTAATGGATTATTGGCAAGCATTAACCCTTCCATCGTACATTTGAATCCTATGATTTTACTTTTATCTATGTTCAGAGCAAGCTTGTTTGCATCAAACCAGCGCTTTATAAGATCAAGTCCAGATAATACTATCCCCCTAAGATTCCCAACATTATGACAGTGCCACAGACAGGTGACATCGTCAGCAAAAACAGACATCTCTGCATTTATATTAATTTGACATAAATCATTCACATATATGAGGAACAGTAGAGGGCCAAGCACTGATCCCTGAGCAATGCCACAGGTAATATCTCCGGACTGGGAGTATTGACCGCCCAGAAAGACTCTCTGAGATCTGCCCTGAAGGAAGGACATTATCCACTCAAGAGCCTGTCCCCTGAAGCCATAGCATTGAAGCATATAGGGTATTCAATTTAAAATAAGAAAGTTGAAGCACGACCAACTTTTTTGAAACACCCTGTATATGCAAAAGTGACTTTTTCAAAAAATGTAATTTCAACCATCATTTTTTTATTCGGGACACTTTTTTCTAAAATATCAACTAAAAAAGATAGAGGGGGGTGACATTTATAACCAATAACCCGTACATGAAATTGACGTATTAGCATTCGACGTTCGTTTTTGCTGGTAATTTTTTGGTTCATCTGATTCGTGATTGATAAATAAGGATTAAATTATTCTAAATGGGTATTAAAAATACTACTTACTTTGAAATCCCGAGTGAAATCCTTGAGAGAATAGCAAAATATATATTTGTTCATATATTTACTCCTATTTTTATTTGTGGATTAATAATCTAATATATATTTCAGTGTAACTCAGTAACTGAAGCAGTTACCAAAAACCTTTCTCGGTCACTTGCAATCGCCTACAATCGTCTGCAATCATTCACAATTTGTCTGCATTCATTCAAAATCGTCTGCAATCATTCACAATCATATGCACATTGCAATCCTCCAAAATCCAACAATCGCATCACAATCCCGGGATTGTAGTCGCAATTGTAGGGAAATCATAGGGATTGTCGCAATACTGTCACAAAATTTAAGAAGATGTTACCCCCTCGATTTGTATGTTCTACATTGTGTATTTTTTGAATTTTGTATTTTATATTTTGTGTCTCTATGTCACTTTTTTAAAAAAAGGAAAATTATGTATGTCTTTTATAAAATGTTTTTTTAGTAATTTACATTGTAATGTTGTAAGAAAATTAATATGACCTGTGTAAACACTATGTGTATCTAACACCAATAAACGATTATTATTATTATTATAGATTTCGGCTTCAAATTTGAGAATAATTCTGTGTATGAAGTTTGGGGTATGTTGATTGACTATTAGGATATAAAATCTCGACAAAAAAAAATTGAAATTTCATTGTTTTAGCATTTAAGGTACCAGAGAGGCTAGGCTGAGAATTGCAAATAAATCTCCTCGATCAGCCATTATGTTGACTATGTACAATAACTTCCTGGAACAGTTGGTGCCTGATTTTTGTGGCCAAGTTTAAGACATGTTCATGGACTGCTTAAGAAAAGTATATTCTTTAGAACTTTTTACATAAATAAAAATGAGAACTCCATAGCTAAATTACTTTTTTCCTCGTCCACAGACTCCAAATAGGTTTGAACAGACTGTAAACTTTCCCTGGACTGGCTAAAGGCACTATCAAGGTTCGTTTCCATATAATTAAGAGGTACATTCTGTTCCCGATAATAATTGTTGCCCATAATGTTTAAATCGACACGTATTTATATCACCAACGAACAACAACGCACATTTTAACTGTACTAATTAAAGACTATAGCGTAAAATTACTCATCCAGATTAATTAAACAGCAAGGTAACCTGATAAGCCACACCTCAGAGATTAGATAAGAGATAATTTCTATTGTAGATATAATTGAATTGCACTTACCCATTTTTGCGAGCTTGTTTCAGTCTTTATCGGATGATAACAAAGGATTTTTATTGGAAAGTTTACTTAAAACAGAAAATTACAAAACAAAAAATGTCAACAAAAAATTTTTACGCTCTACAACCACGCTGTCAACTCTGTCATATGTCAGAGTTTGCGAATGTTGCACTTACTGCACTACTCTGAACACTCTGAACTATAACTTATATGGAAGCTGTATAAGGCCCCATACACTACGGTGAAACACGTCGGTTTTCACCGCTGCGAGGAAACACGTCGTGTCAAAACCGAAGTGTGTGGTAGAAAACCGTCGTGTTTTTCTACCACACACTTCGGTTTTGGAACGACGTGTTTCCTCGCGGCGCGGCGGTGAAAACCGTCGTGTTTCACCGTAGTGTATGGGGCCCTTATTTCTCCATTGGATTATTCTTAGTATAAATGAAAATTACTTCAAAATTCAAATTAAAATTATGGATATGAATAACTTTACCTATAGGCGTACGGAAAGTGAACTTTACCACACTTATTTGCAAGTGAAAAGGGGCACCCAGACAGCACACAGTCCAAAAACGTCTTTGGAATGTCTGTCCTAAAAACGTCTCTAGGTAGACGTCTGAAAGACATTTATTGGGCTTTTGTAACATACGACGTCTTCAAAATGTCTTTGAGACGCTTTAAAGACGTGAATAAGCATGTTTTGATGTCGTTTGTGGAAATCTTATCACCAGCTGGAACATTTTTCTGGCTAAAACTTTGATTATTACCGGCGTTTGATTCACCAGAAAACTTTTCCAGATGAAATCAAGAGCCGGCAATAGTTCAAATTTTGATTATTACTGGCTCTTGAATCATTAGAAAATTTCTCTGGAGGAAATCTAGATCCACAAAGCGTTTCGTATTTTGATTATCGACGGCAGGATTCGGCAGGAACATTTTGCTGGTCAAAACTTTTCCAGATGAAATCAAGAGCCGGGAATAATTCAAATTTTGCTAAATACTGGCAGTAACGGTTCAGATTTGAATCATCACCGGCAGGAACATTTTTCTGGCAAAACCTTTGATTATTACCGGCGCTTGAATCACCAGAAAACTTTTCCACAGGAAATCCAAGAGCCGGGAATAGTTTAAACTTTGATAATTACTGGCTCTTGATTCATAAAAAAAAATCTGAGGGAAATCAAGACCCAGTCAGTAACGGTTCAGATTTGAATTATAACCTGCTGGAACATTCTTCTTGATTATTACCGGCGCTTGAATCACCAGAAAACTTCTCCAGACGAAATCAAGAGCCGGGAATAGTTCAAATTTTGATAATTATACTGGCTCTTGATTCATAAGAAAATTTTTCGGAAGGAAATCAAGACCCATAGTTAGTAGGTAACAGTTCAGATTTGAAATATAACCTACTGGAACATTCAGCTTGATTATTAGCGGCGCTTCAATCACAATAAGAAAACTTTTCCAGACAAAATCAAGAGCCGGGAATAGTTCAAATTTTAATAATTATTACTGGCTCTTGATTCATAAGAAAATTTTGCTGAAGGAAAATCAAGACCCAGTCAGTAACGGTTCAGATTTGAATTATAATCCGCTGGAACATTCTTCTTGATTAGTACCGGCGCTTGAATCACCAGAAAACTTCTCCAGGCGAAATCAAGAGTCGGGAATAATTCAAATTTTGATTATTACCTACTGGCTTTTGAATCATTAGAAAATTTCTCTGAAAAAAATCAAGACCCAGTAACTGTTCAGATTTGAATTACCACCAACTGGAACATTTTTTTGGCCAAAATCCCAAAATTTTGATTATTACCGGCCCATAAAACTTCTCCAGACGAAATCAAGAGCCGGGAATAGTTCAAATTTTGATAATTACTGGCTCTTGAATCATTAGAAAATTTCCCTAGAGAAACTCCAAGACCCATTAACGGTTCAGATTTGAGTTATCACCGGCTGGAACATTTTTCTGACCAAAACTTTGATTGTTACCGGCGCTTGAATCAACAGAAAACTTCCCCAAACGAAATCAAGGGGCTTTTAAAATGCAAACTGTTAAGTGTTTTGAAAGGTTTCATAACTCATTGAAGTTCTAATTTGGCTTGAAGAGTTCTGGACCATTTTAGAAGGTTTTCAGTTATTTTTAAATTTCGTTCTGATAGATTTTTGAGTATTTTAGGGCCGAATTTAAAGTGGCCCTTTGAGGTTTCTTCAGACCTTGGGGAAGTTTAGAATTTATTTGACAAGTTAGTCAAATAGTAGGTAACAATAAATGTCCATTCTAAACTCACAACTTCCAAGGAAGACCCAATTAACATCTACAAATTTGGCCCTAGACCCTTTTACATATATTCACACTTCAAAAGTGTTCTAAATTGGTTCAAAAGAGTTCTAAAAGATTTCAGCTCTAAATTGAATCCTAATTGTTCTGATCGAATAACTCTGAAGTTTCTAAATTGTTCCAAAATGTTCCTGGAAATTGTAATTTGGATTTGAATTGTTTTGGATGCTTTTTAAAACGTTTAAAGTTCTGCAACAATTTAAATTCGCCCTTGAACGCCTTTTGAAAGGCGTTTTGTAACTTTTAAATAATAGAATCTGGCGCTTTTCAAAATGTTTCTGGAGATTCTAGAGTGTTTCGGAGCGTCCTAGAATAGGTTTATAGGTTCTGGAAATTGTAAATAGGTTTTTGAATGTTTTGTGGCATTCTAAAGCGGTTCTGAAATTTCTAAATTGTTCTAAAGAACTACAGAATACTTTTGGATATTCTGATTTGGATTTCAGGTTTTGAGCTTTCCAAAAGTTGTTCTGTAGCATTTTAAATGGTTTCCAGTAGGTACCTTATTATTCTAAATTGAATGAGTTTTTGTAGACATCTTAAAAACGTCCTTGAGACGTTTTTTAGACGTGTTCAAGGTATCTTAAAGACGTATTATAGTTACAAAGCCACGTTTTTCAAACGTCTGCCTAAAAAAAAAGACATTCTAAAAACCCCTTCAACCAGAAGTCTTAAAGACGTCTTTTAAGCTTTTTTTAAATACATAAACCATTATTAACTTTTAGGCCTGGTTGTACCAAATAGTGTTGCTTAGTTTTTTTTTTAAGATGTGAATTTACATCTTTTTTTTTTTTGGTCTTTAGATGTTCAGACGCGATGCAGACCTAATAAAGACGTCAAGACCAATGTCCTTTAACTTATCTTGAGTAAAATTAATTAAGTAAGTGTTCTTAATTGGTTCAAAAAAGTTCTAAAAGCTTTCAGCTCTAAATTGAATCCTAATAATTGTTCTGAATAACTCCGAAGTTTCTAAATTGTTCCTGGAAATTCTAATTTGGATTTGAATTGTTTTGGATGCTTTTTTAAACGTTTATAAAGTTCTGCAACAATTTAAATTCGCTATTGAACGCCTTCTGGAAAGCGTTTTGTAACTTTTAAATAATAGATTCTGGCGCTTTTCAAAATGTTTCTGGAGATTCTAGAGTGTTTCGGAGCGTCCTAGAGGTTTATAGGTATATAACTTCTGAATTGTTCTAAAATGCTTTGGGAAATTGTAAATCGGTTTTTAAATGTTTTGGAGCATTCTAAAATGGTTCTAAATTGATCTGAAGAGCTACAAAATACTTTTGGATATTCTGATTTGGATTTCATGTTTTGAGTTTTCCAAAAGTTGTTCTGTAGCATTTTAAATGGTTTCCAGTACCTTATTATATTTTAAATTGAATGAGTTTTTGTAGACATCTCAAAAACGTCCTTAAGGCGTTTTTTAGACGTCTGCTTACGTGTTCAAGGTATCTTAAAGACATATTATACACTCATCAAAATAGTCTAGGGAACAAGAAATATCTGTCTTTCAATTTTAGGAAAGAACAACTTTTTAAAAAAGATAAAGTGAGTATTATTTATTGAACAAATCTTGCCGAATTTACCATGTCGGCTTTTTTTTGCAAACTTATTTAGTTTAAATATTTTAAAAATAAAATCAGCAAAAATTTCTGATAAGTATAGGAATTATTTTGTTCCCTAGACTATTTTGATGTGTGTAGTTACAAATCCACGTCTTTCAAACGTCTGCCTAAAAAAAGACATTCTAAAAACTCTTTCAACCAGAAGTCTTAAAGACGTCTTTCAAGCTGTTTTTAATACATAAACCTTTAGGCCTGGTTGTACCAAATAGAGTTGCTTAGTTGTTTTTGAGATGTGAATTTACCTACGTCTTTTTTTTTGGTCTTTAGATGTTCAGACGCGATGCAGACCTAAAAAAGACGTCAAGACCAATTTCCTTTAACTTATCTTGAGTGAAATTAATTAAATAGGTACCTACCTACGATTTTTAGTACCAAATAGAATGCAAGTAGACATACTTTACATACATAGGTACTTATTTCTTTTAATTTCAAACTTTTGAACTGAAAATTTCCAAAAATCAAAAGCCAGGAATAGACAAAAATTGAGTCAAAAACACTAAAAAATAGAAGTTTAGGAAGAATAGAGACAAAATTGGTAGATGGGGTGGTATAAAACAACAGAAACCACTTAGCTTTGGGCGACGTTTCGAAATTATAGTTTTCCTTTTTCCAACCTCCTCAAACTGATGTCTCCAGAGCCCCTGCAGCCAACAGAAAAGCACAACACACTAATAAATTGTGTAAAATTCTGATTTTCTTGCCAATTAATAATTATTGGATAATTTTCTATTATTGATTGATTACACATGTTTAATAATTATCTATCACTTGTTTCTATGTTATAAAGTTGACTTATTTATACTTTGTGTATAGAGTTATTTCATGTGTAAGCTTCTGTGTTCCAAACACAATCAATTATCTTGTAAAGCTGAAAATTGGCTGTGAATCACCAGAGAAAATTCCATACTCTTTGAATCATTACCTTCGAAATCTATCATAGACAAGGGGTTATCCAGAAGCTTCTTCAGCGGTAGGGTATAAAAATCAATATAAATAAAACCAAATTATACTAGAGTCGTACTTGTATTTTATCTGGAGATACATAGCCAATTTTCAGCTTTACAAAATAATTGATTGTGTTTGGAACATAAATTAAAATTACACATGATTGCGGTGAATAATTTTTTTCTACTTTTTCAATATTTTGAATGACGACCTTTTTTTATTTCTTGTTTCAGTTTGACATTGAGCATTGTTTTTCTCAATAAAGATTTGCTTTCCATTTTTTAAAACAAACAAAAATCAAATTAGACAAAATCATGGTTTCTTAACTTTTATTTAATTTTTAAACATATTTACATTATACGACAGAGGGGGGAATGCTTACAAAAATAAAAATAAATACTGTAAAATTTCAATAATGAAAAACTTTGGTTTTCGTTTATTTTTTATTACAAAAAAATAAATTACTTTGATTGATTTTCAAGTAATATAAAACTTTCTGACGCGACGGTCTAAATGTAAAAAAAAAAATCTGAGTTATATTACTTAAAAAAAACGTTTATATAAGTAACACACCTTACAAGTAACGTAAGAGTACAGAAACTATATAGTATATTTTACAAATAAATCCAGAATACAAAAAAAAATAATATATGTACAAAACTAACTAAAGACTAGATAACAAAAAAATAATTGATCATATAAGGAAATAAACTAAAATATATGATCAATTAATTCAGTAAATCAAAAAAAAAATTATTATTCCGAAAAATATATAAGGAAGCGTAATATAATATGTCACAAATAAGTTTTTTTTTTTTGGGCAAATTTTCAATATTTTATCATAATTCATTTAATGTAAATAATTATATTTTACAATAATTATTATAATCACAGCGAGTAACTATAAACTGGTCCAAGAATGAACAGTTTATATCCTTATTGTACCTAACTATATATTGTATTGTATATGAACTTATTATATTAAGTAACTATTTTTAAAGGGGTACGTTTTACGGAAATTAATATTTTTCTCGGACAACATTTTTTGGACTTTGTGAACACATAAATATTGGGCATTGTATCGTTATACTATGGTACTGAGATATGTATTTTAATTATTACTATTGGCGATAAAGGAACTTGACAATGCCGTCCAAGAAGTCTGTACATAAGGCACAAAGTTGCTTAAAATAGGTACAGTACAGGACCGTACACGAGGAGTCTCAATCTCTCCCTAAAAAATTTACAACCGCGATAATATAGAAACCCAAACTTAAATACCAACTATACAAAAATAAGAAAAATCTCGTGTACGGACCTGATATTTTGTGTTTTTTTTTTTTGTTTTAAATTTTGAGACTGAAAAGAACAAACCTAAAAAAAAAACATTACAAATGCCAAAGAAAAAACACAAGCGTTAATAATAATATAACATAAATCGAATATGTACAAGGGTTATTTTATAAAAATAAATTTAAAATGTTTGCGAACACTTAACAATAATTTGTTTGTTTCAATAACGATATCATTGGTCTGGTTAAAGTCAGGCTATTAAATAAAATAAGTATTTGGGGGGGTTGATAAAGAAATTAGACACAAATATACCTAGACTGAGAATTGTAAAACGTAGAACATTATAGACAGAACAATTTTCATAACTTCTGAGTCCATTTGTCCGCATAGAAAATTATAAGTTTAGTATAATCATTCTGAACTTGTTGAAGACTGCTAATGACAAAATGAAAATAGAATAATGTAGATTTCACAAAATAACATCTGAGGTTCATGAAACCTATATGATAATACAAGTTATCACAAAATGCCTTCTTTAACCATTACCTAGGTACTTTTTGTTGGCCCAATTTAGTCGACTATCATTACAGTTCGAATGTAACCACCAAATGATTCACAAAACTATAAACCAGTATTACCTTATTAATATAATATAAGCGTTTAAACAATAAAATTTTGTCCATATATGGATCAAAAATAAACATTTTCCACTTCGGTGGGCGTTTCAGGTTGTCCGTAGCCGGGACTCTCATAGCCCGCAGGTTTTTTGGTGGGTTCCTTGGCTTTTTGGTTGGCGGCCTCGGGATTGGCCACTTTTTCCACAACGTTATCGACAATGTTGATGAGCAAATCGATTTGGTCTACGTCTACGTTGAGCATTTTGCAGATTTCATTCATCGCGGCTCGTTGACAAGGTAGTTTGAGGCCTTGAACTGCCGAACTCAAACAGGCCGCCGCTACGACCGACGGAGGTGTTTGGATTAGAGATGGTTCTGAAAAAAAAAGAAAAACATTTTTTTAATGAATGGTATAATTTGCTTTTAAAAGGCTTGGTTTTTTAAATACCGTAAAGTTAAAGAGCACCTAGAACCCAAGAACCATATAGTTTTAACAATTAATTTATGCTGAACTTATTATTATAAATAAGTCTTTATTATTTTTATTATAGCGGTGCTGCTACGTTATTATTATATTATGATAGGGCGTTCCGCAACATAAAGATTTGCTATTTAATTGTGTATTTATTAATTCCAGTAGTTGCTCGAGTCAAGGCACACGACCAAAGGGTTATTTAATAGTTGATGTTTAAGAAATTACCGCCATATCAAGGTTTTCTCTAAATTAATATCAAAATTGTTGATATTTAAGCGTATCATGAATTGTACTTTTCATGCTTCAAAACAGTTCCAGGGGGTTGGATCTTTAGATCTTCTTTATCTCATTAGTGGAAAGTTTTGAGAGATGTTCAAAAAAACCTTATTTCATTCAGGGTTTTTTTTGTCCCTTGTTCTAGGCCTGTCCGACTTATTTTGTCCCCATGCAACACTGAAGCCTGAGAAGGCCTATTGTACTTAGCCTGTGTGGTTTATTCCAACCACTCCAGTATTTTTGTGCCTTGTACAGGTCTTTTACTAGGTGGTGTTTCATTATTTGTTTCCGGTTCTACATTTGGTTGTCCAATTTTTCCAGGTTTTGGTATAAAAGATACCCTAATGCGCCTCCAGGCCATTAATATAAGGGTCAAAGGTGTTTATATAGCCCATTTGACTTTTCACTTTTTCATAGTTGACTATTTTCTTTGAGGTCAGCCATTCGTTCCTGGACGCTCTTCTAAGTCTAGTCTGAGTCCATGTCCACTGAGTCTGATCAACTATCTTTGAGCCGGGAGAGTCGGTTCTTAGGAGTTATCTAGCCGTTTCTTCCCCCATCTTTGTGTATTCACCAAAGTTGTTCTTGGGTTTTGGATGGATTTTTGATGGATATTTCCACATAAATCGAATATTGTAGAAGAGGAAAAAAAAAAACAAACAATTTTTATTGACACACAAAAACTTTCAGGAATTTCTAACAAATGTTTAATAAAGGACAAATACAAAACAGTTTTTCAAACATACTCCTTTTCCCATACTATACCCATAACTATAGTGCTTTTGGAACGACGGAATGTTCTAGAAGTTATCAGAAATCTCACAAATATTCTTGACCGCTTTTTGATACTTGAAATTCTAGATAAGTTCAGATGTGTTTCAGAGTGTTTTCATATGTTCATAAAAATTTTAAATTAGTTCATAAGTGTCATATGACGATTTTCAAGATATTCTGAAAGTTTCTATTTCTAGATTGTTTCCAAAAGTGTTCTAGAGTGTTCCAAAAGCATTCTAAAATGTTGCTGAAAGTTCAGAAATGTTTTGATCTGTTCTAGAATGTTCTGAATTCTAAATTGGACAGGGATACTATCAGCACTAAAAAAATTGTACCAGAAAGTAGGAAATAATTGTACTAGATTGGCGACAATGTGTACTAGCTGAAAGCGCATCAAATTTTGAAATTTGAACACAAGTGTAGACTCTGCTAAATGGGGAAAAATATCACTTGTTTTACGGTCGATTCTTCAGAGCTCAGTCAGCTGCGGGTTGGTTTTAACTCTAGGGTAAAAAACGTGTCCATTTGCAATGTTTACCTAGAGTTATCCTTAACCTAGAGTTGACTCGCTATTGGGAAACCGGCCCTGAATCAACTGAATGATAGAAATAAATAAATTTCTACATATTTAGTTATAAATCGACTACCGATTACTATGATCCGCTGAATAACCGAATAACCACCGATACATGCGACACGTCAAGTCACAAAATAAAAAACTCCCGCACCATCAAATTCTGAGATACTCGAGGATCAAGAACACCTAATTGGTTCTGTGAGAACAGATCGAAAATCACCTTTTCTACATTTAAAATCGACGAAAAAATTAACTCACTAACATAGCCTGAATCGCAAGTGTTCAATCGAGGTCTGAGGGTGACGTCATCTCTATTTTCTACTGATAGTGACGACGCTCGCAGGCCCAGAATTTAATAGAGAGGGAGTTAGGGAAGTATGACACAATTGACACATCACATTACCCAGCATAATCAGATTATGCTTGAATATCCTCGCCAAAAATTACCTCATATTCGAAAAGCCAATTTCTTGTTTGGCTTTAGCCGCACCGTAGTGGGACCTGGAACGTGAAACCCAACCCAACCCACAAGTAGAGAGTGGAGCGCAGAACTCGGGTACGGTACAGAGCGAAGAGCAACACTCGACTCGTAATCCAAATTGTACTAGATAGAGGTACTAGCGTACTAGGTGAAACAGGATTGTGCTAGATCTAGTACAATTGTACTAGAAATAGCATCCCTGAAATTGGTTCTTAAGTGTTCTGTAACGTTTTACAATGTTTTTAATGATTCCAATTTGTCTGAAACAGATGCAGAATTGACAGTCTTCTGAAGCTTATGACAGGCCCGGATCCAGACCCAAATTGAGGGGGGCCAAACAAAATATTGGAAGGTACAAGGTGTCTGGTTATAATTTGACACCCTACCTTTATAGGTAGTAGATGATAGGTGTAAACACAAAAGTGGAGCTGTTTTAGCTAAATTATTGTCAGAAATTTGAAATTTTGCGTACTTTCAACTTTTTTCAAATAGAATGCCCTATATTTGATTCTATAGTCTTGAAGAGCACAATTTTCTGATTCCAAAAATATATAGTTTCTCTATATTTAGTTGAGCTCAATTGGTTGAGCCGTCTCCACCATATTTGGCTTCAAAAATTATGAAAATTGGATGGGCTCAGACAAACCGGCCCTGGCAATTTTTTTCCAGCCAGCCCTCCCTTGGACAGCAAGAATGAAAAATGGGTTTTAAAAATTTTACTGTAAAGAAAACGAAAGAATATTTTGGAATTTTCATTTTCAATATTATTACAGATAGGTCATATCATCAATCAATATCTCATCATAATGCAAATCTCCATAAACCACTCCAGATGCGTCATCAAGGTACCCATAACCAGGTAACCTATTAACTTTAGGAACCTTGGGCTAGGCTCAAACACAGGAAACTCAAGGATAATACACATTACTAATGCTCATCGGCTGTTTCAGAGATAGGTTGCCTGGATAAAGCCCGGGACACATCTATCATACATTCTTCCGATCCGACTCCGATCATACAATCAGGGTCTTTATTCTTGGAACAGAGAGCAGTGTTCCCAGGCGTTCTCCTGGGAACGCTGCTCGCCTATTCCAAGAATAAGGACCTTGATTGTATGATCGGAGTCGGATCGGAAGAATGTATGATAGATGTGTCCCGGCCTTAACTCTATTACGACATTTGGAGTGCCCCAACAATAATTCCAATCTCCATATGGCACCCCAGATTCTTCATCAAGTTACCCATTACCAGACAACGTCAAGACGAGAAACAATATGATGCCTACGTTTTCACTGATGCTTTGGCATAGTGGGGGGCTTGAGATTTGAAGTTCACGGGCTTATTGAGGATAGGCTCTATCCTGTAGTTGTAGTGTGTATTATTCTTGCAGGAAAACTGAAGTCTAAGGCCCAGTTGTACAACCTCGGTTCAAAACAGAGTTCAGCAGTTCAGCTGAACTCGACTGGTACCTACTTGAACTTTCCCATTTGAAATGTATTGCTGTCAAAATTGAAAGAATTTGAATAATAGCTGACAGCAATGTATTTTAAATGGGAAAGCTCAAGTACCAGTCGAGTTCAGTTGAACTTTGTTTTGAACCGAGATTGTACAACTGGGCCTTAAAGTAACCATTTTTCCAGGAACCAGAGTAATTAGTAATTAGATTACTTTCGGATCGCTTTTCTGTCGTTGCCACATCTTTATTTTTGGTTGAGGAGCGATGATTAACCCTCAGATTTGACTAAATTTAACCTATTTTCCAAAATCATAAATTACAAAAAAAATATATACTTTCTTCTTGATGTTACTAAATAGGTACTAAGGTAGTTTGTGTAAATGTGAGATGGAAGCGTGTAAAAACGTAATTTGACCAGCAAATCGTGTAATATCACAAATTCAAATTGGCAGCACTGCATTCTCAACTAAACCGTCACCAGTGGTTTCGGACCTCACGCATAATATTCAGTTTAAATATTGTTTTAGATAGTTTTCATGATGTTTTTGTCAAATATATACATTTTAAAATATTATTATTAATTGGAGACGCGTTGGGCCTGCGGCCCGACCGGCCCTGAGTTATATCAGCCCACCGGGCATTTACCCGGTTGCCTGGTCGTCCCATCCAACCCTGTTTATTAAATTAAATTTTACCTGAATCTTTCATCAGAATGGTTCACAAAATCGTCAGTAGGATAGTATTTTTCCAATTTTTGAATTTCTAGAGCCAAATATGTTGAAGGCGGCTCAAACATATATAGACAAACTATATATTAGAAGCATATATAGGGCATTTCATTAAAAAAAAGTTGAAAATACGCAAAACATTAAAATTTTTTTTTTTGACGATGGATTCTGAAAATTTAGTTAAAACTGCAGAACTTTTGTGTTCACATCTATCATTTATCTGTAAAGGTAAAGGCTACAGGTGTGGTGTCAAATTATAACCAGACACTCTGTACATACAAATAGAATAGGATAGAGGGCCGTGATAAAATGACGCCATGAAATAAAATTCTGTTATATACGGGCCCTGATAAACCCGGAAAAATTGGTTGATTTAATGTTAATTTTTAAAATTATTTGTTCTTATCTATGGGGGGGCATGGCCCCAATGGCCCCTCCTTGGATCCGCGCCTGACTTATGAAAGTTTTTTAATTGGTTTCCCAATGATTTTGAAGTGCTGGAACGTTCTAGAAGTTATCAGAAATCTCCCAGACTTGATTTCATTGAACTGGAAAAGATTCTAAGTATTCAATTGTAATGGACACCTATGAGGATTGGTGAAATAACA